TGCTCGGCCATCGATCATGCTCCATTATGAAAGAATGCACCTTGGAAAGCAGGACTTGGGTCGAGTCAAATCGCAGAGACTCCAGCAGCTCTATATCGACGGTCTCCGACGCTTCGTCGATGTCTAACATCTCAAACTCTGTCCTGCTCGTGCGTCCATCACAGATGTCCATCACAACGTCTAAGCAAGTCGCTCGAAAATCGTTGAGCTTCGAACCAATGTATCTTTGTACATCCTCGCTTCTCAGCAACGCACACTCAGCGATAACTTCCATCAGCTGTTTGCCTCTGAAAAACTGGTGGAAACCGACTGTGCGGGCGGCTTCCCAACGTTCCTTTGCGCACCACGCAGTGAACAAGTCTGAATAAGAATCTCTCAAAGCTTGGTCCAACGTGTGCGCTTGCGACAGCAAGCGATGCCATGATTGAGCCAGCGCGTCCGCACATGCGTTCGGACCACGCGAAGGCCATGTCTTCTGCTCTTCCACGTAGGAACGTACTTGCTGTAGGGTGTGCTCCACGCCTACGCCATATGGTCATATGGATTTAGAATGCTCTGGAAATGTTATACAACACAGATTTCGGCCTATGCGACAAATCGAAACAGTCTAACATCACAACAAATTATCAACACATGTGTGAGGAGAGACCCGGCCTCGAAGAACATCATCTCTGTGCTGCACTGTCAGTAGATCAGTCAACATGCGTCTCAATTCTTCTGATTGCGGGGACTGCACCACCTGCAACAATTCCACCTCTAGCCGCGGAGACTTCACCACCTGCAGCCAGTCGTGCCTCTCAAGCAGTCGATGCCAGCGCCATGCCAAGCGATCTTCTTCATGCTGTTGCTGATCGTTCACTGCCTGTCTCCGTGGCAGCCTACCAGCAGTGTTGAAAAAATGTTGCACGCTCAAGCAAAAAACAAAAATAGCATCTGTGTCTGCCATATCAGCAGAATCAAACAAGTCTCTGTATCTCTCTTGGATCTCGTTGGGCAGCGAGGTTCTCTGTGTCAACAGGCGATCCCAGCGTCGAGCTAAGGCGTCCTCTGCTCGTTGCTCATCCGTGGCTGGGTTCTGTCGTTTCGGTAGCCGCGAATGCTTCTGGAAAAATGTGTCTGTGGCTTTACAAATTGCTACGTGAGACTCTTCTTGCTTCAGCAAGTGCAAAAGTTTCAGCCGTCTCAATCTAGAATAGATTGCCCGACTCTGGGTTAAGTCCGACAGCTGCGACGGTATTTCTCCGTGTACTCGTATGAACTCATCCAACTCTGCGCAGGCACTCTCTGCTTTCTCGACATGCGATTTCTTCTTTGGAGGAAATATTGGAAATAGAAATGAAGAAAATAGGAGGATATACAAGACAGGAGACTGCCACGTCAGCTTCCAAGAATGCGATACACATCCGATCAACAAGAGTGTGTAAATTCGACAGCTTCGGAGGGTCTCGGCGTGCAATCCCATGCACCAGGCCCAGCAAAAACATACGCCCAACAACGCCTTGGTTCCGCTGGAGTATGCATGACAAATCTAGTGGTCGACCACGTGGGTTTATGTAAAACAATATTATCTCTCTAGTGCACTCAAATAATTGATCAAAGTCTAGGCGCCATCATGTCACCCATGTCTGAGAATCCAATGCAATGATAAGGGAACCGTTGCGCGAACTCCACCAGCAACACCTTTGGCCGCGGTAGCAAGGTCCCGTGTTGCAGCTCTACGCATCGCAGTGTGCTAGGTATCAATATCATACCAAGGATCGCCCACCAGGTCGTCATAGGTAGAAGAATAGACCAGCAACACCCCAGCATCAGTAGCACATGTAGTAAGGTCAACCTCACTCGCCACGAACCCTTCCTTCTTTTGTCATCTGCCCACAACGTCCGAGGTCGTGTGGACGCACGTCCTCTTCGCGACATCGCGCTCCCCTACACCGGGGACTCCACCACCAAGCTCAGGGATATGCTCTCTACACACTCCACCCTGTATGCACAAACTCTAAGTGACATTATTTGGGTTACCAATGTTTTCTATTTTAAACGCGTCCAAAATGCAACCGTCTTCTGATTCATGCGCAGTGTTTCTAGTGTGATGCTTCGTGCGGGGCAGCAAAAACGCTTCGTCTAGTGCTCACCAGAAACCACAACGCTCTGTATTCGCGTCATTGCTAGTACTTACACGTCGTGCAATCGCGTCTGCTCGAACACTTGAACCTTCGCTACGCGTTCGTGCTCGACGTGACCATGTCAATCACTCGCCTGCTAGTGCTATCCTGACTCTTGCAAACAGCTCTGCCATCATAACAATACTTCCGCATGCCTTGTCTTGCATGTCTAGTCTCACTCATGCCGTCAAACTCACGTAAACATAAGGATTTTTTGTTGCTGGAGTCGCTTTCCGTCAATCCACTGTGTATAGACAGAGACACAGCCGGTGAGAATCTCTTTTTCACGCTCCGGCACGCGGTTGGACATCGTGCGCTGGGGACTCCACCACCAAGGCAGCACGCGCTGGGGACTTCACCACCAAGCTCCGTCTTCGTCATGAAGGGTCTTCGTTTTGCATTCAAGTCAAGCACTGGCGTAAAGGTTCTGGCAGATCCACATCACGAAAGAAACAATGGCATTGTCCCAAAATCTCGAAAACAAGCGCTTGAAAATGATAACCGTCCACATAATACAGAGAAATCCACAACTGCGGCGTCTGATCTTCTTGTAAATAGGAGTGCAAGACCGTGCGTTGTTGTGTTTCACCTGCATCAACAAGAAGTATATGAGACACACACACAACGGAAGTGAGCAAAACTATCCTATAGGTCATGTCATTAGGACACTCTTGTAGGACACTCTTGTGGGACACTCTTAGAAGACACTCTTGTGGAACACTCTTGTGGGACGCTCTTGTAGGACACTCTTGTGGGACATTCTTGTAGGACACTCTTGTGGGACACTCTTGTGAGACACTATTGTGGGACACTCTTGTAGGACACTCTTGTGGGACACTCTTGTAGGACACTCTTGTGGGACACTCTTGTGAGACACTGTTGTGGGACACTCTTGTGGGACACTCTTGTGAGACACTCTTGTGGGACACTCTTGTGGGACACTCTTATAGGACACTCTTGTAGGAAACTCTTGTGGGACACTCTTGTAGGACACTCTTGTGGGACACTCTTCTGGGACACTCTTGTGGGACATTCTTGTAGGACACTCTTGTGGGACACTCTTGTGAGACACTATTGTGGGACACTCTTGTAGGACACTCTTGTGGGACACTCTTGTGAGACACTCTTGTGGGACACTGTTATAGGACACTCTTGTAGGAAACTCTTGTGGGACACTCTTGTAAGACACTCTTGTGGGGCACTCTTATAGGACACTCTTGTGGGTCACTCTTGTAGGAAACTCTTGTAGGACACTCTTGTGGGACACTCATATAGGCCACTGTTGTGGAAAACTCTTGTGGGACAATCTTGTAGGACACTCTTGTGGGTCACTGTTGTAGGAAACTCTTGCGGGGCACTGTTTCGGGACACTCTTGTAGGACACTCTTGCGGGACACTCTTCTGGGACACTCTTGTGGGACACGGTTGCGGGACACTCTTGTGGAACACTCTTGTGGGACACTCTTGTGGGACACTCGTGTCGCGACACGGTCTGCCCACACACTAGAAGCAGTCACGCGAGCGTTTCGTACGAGACTTCCTCCAAAAGTCACGCTTCGAGGCTGCAAGACGAGCGTTTCGTACGAGACTTCCTCCTAAAGTCACGCGTCAAGTCTCCAAAACGGAGCGTTTCGTACGAGACCTCCTCCAAAAGTCACACGTCAAGTCTCCAAAACGAGCGTTTCGTACGAGACTTCCTCCAAAAGTCACGTGTCAACTCTCCAAAACGAGCGTTTCGTACGAGACTTCCTCAAAAACGCACGTGTCAAAGTCTCCAAAACGAGCGTTTCGTACGAGACTTCCTCCAAAAGTCAAGCGGAAACACCCATCGGAGCACACACATCACGCAGCCCTGCCAACCAGTTTCGCGATTCCAGCCCCTCCAAACAACACCCGCCCACACGCCAATCCCAATGAGACAACGACAGTCACCTCTACCACAACTCACAACCTCACGATTCCCTGCGCCTGCCACGCATCTTTCCGCGTCCACACGTCTAACGCGCACAAAGTACTGCGCCTGCCACGCAATGTCACCTCCGTCACACCTCGCAACCTCACGATTCCCTGCGCCTGCCACGAAAATCACACTTCCATGCCTCAAAACCCGCACAAAGTACTGCGCCTGCCGCGAAAAGTGACAATATCATCTCATGTGAGCTTCAACAAAATTTGCACCACACCACACGTTTGGAATGACTTCGATCCGTTCTGAGCACACTCCCATCCACCAAAATCGCCATTTCAGCTGGGACTTGTCACGAAAACAGAGCTTCGATGCCACACCCTGAAACGCAAATCCCAATGGCACGGCCACATCCAACACCCCAAAAACACGACTCTCCAAACGCTAATCCCAATGGAACTGCGTAGCAAACTGAGGATCTCACAAAACGCTGCGCCTGTGCAGCGAAATGCATCACGCTTCTTGCGCGACATGTCATTTTCATGCAAATCACAATGGAATAGCGTCGCAAACTGACACGTGACACATCCATGAAAAGTCACTTGCAAAAGCTTCCCCCAATGGCAGCGCCTTAGCGCTCTACTGCGGACGGTTGCCAACGGTTGCGAACATCGAAGCAGCGGGTCGCGAACAAAGCTCTACCCCCAGACCCCCAAGAGTTAAACGAGAACCCTTCGCTACGCATTCGGGAAAAAAGAACGTCTACTATTACTGGCCAAGTGATGTTTGCACTGTTCACTTACAATATAAGGGCCCAACGTCACGCATCTCAAATTCCTCCCAAATCACTCATCCAATCACTCCAGGTTTTATGCCTAGATAACCTTTCTTCACCTCGTGCGGCTCAGTGCTGCTCAGTGCGGCCAGCATGCAAATGAGCTCTTCGCATTCAGGCAGCAGGCGGTCATTGTTCCTTGCAAATCGCGCAAGAACTTGCTGTTGCTTCTTGACCAATAGACCATACATCCCCGATATATAAAACCCGATAGCTATAGTAGACCCCAAAAACCAAGAGATAACTATAAACCGATGCTCGGCCACCTGCCCTAGCCGCCCCTAGCCGAGCACCCTCCATCGTCCGATCGAGCGCCACTCCGCGAAGGCTCTTATCCAACCAGCCCTTCGTGCTGTACTCCACCTGCCCAGCATAGTGCTTCACCACGAAGCCCTGCCGACACTCGTGTCGGCGCGGTCGCACGGATGAGAACCAGGAATGCTCATGTGGATGTTACAGTGGATGTTCAAAACAACCGTTTTGCTTGAACGGAGGCAGAACATGACGTCTTAAAACCCATGCTCATGTGGATTTCGTAGCCCGGAGCGCTGGCACCTCCAACACTCATGTCTTGTGGCACGAAGCGTACAGTCAGGCACAGAGCACAACACATGATCCAACCAATTCCTTACAGCCAAACAACAGCAACTGAGCCGAAAAGGTTCTCCAAAGGTTTCCTCTGGTAGGGGGATCATTCTATGAAGAGTCAAGATTCACTTTCCCATCATTCTCAACAACACAAGGAACCATTCTGCTCCAGATCACCAAGGGAACACCACCGCGGCTCGCTCTCCAACAGCCACGCCACCCGCCGTCGTCGGTCGGCTCAGCGTCAAACCGTGCATCGGTCAGCTCCCAGGCCTCGTTCATCAGCGTCGGTCGCTTTTTGGAGGTCCGTGGCGCGCGCAGCAGCTCCCGGCGCTCGGGGTCCTCGACCGGTGGCGGGACCGACGCCTAGCTCGCGAAGCGGCCGGTCAAGTGGTCGATGGAAGCGAAGACGAAGGGGAAGACGAGGTCAACATGGAATTGATCCGAAGGCTGTACCAGATACAGCATACGGAAAAGGACACGTTGGGACCTTTTCAGGCAAGTCGTGCAGTGACATGTGCTGGACAGTTGTGCACGACCACGGCGCACATGAGGGCAGCCGGCACGGGGCACCCTGTGGGATCCGATGGTCTTTCGATCGGCACCGGAGGGGGGAACTGCGTCAGCGTCGCTGGGCGGCAGTCCCAGTCAGCAGAAGCGTCGGTGGTTCTCGGCAGCTGGAAAGAGATCCGTCCTTTTGAGCCTCATCCACGGTCTTCTGGCAAAAGCTCTCATCGGTCTTTTCGAAGCCTCTCATCGCTTCATCGGTCAGGCCGAGCGAGGCACCGAGGCATGAGTGTAAGGCAGGAGCTGAAAGCTGAAGAGACCCAGTCACAATTGCACAAAGATGTACAAAAACCATCCTGGTCATAAGGATGCTTAGCCATGCTTAGCCCATGTCTGCCCTAGTTTTCCAATCCCCTTCTTGCAGGGTGGTACAACTGGCAGAAGGGCCACTCACCCCCTGAAATCATGGAAGTGGAAAACCGAGTCCTTCTATTCAAGGGGCCTGAGAAGAGATGTGTTGTGACCCTGTACTCCTGACAACACCCTTCTTTTTCAATCTGTCCTATCCGCACTGTTCAGAAACTCCATGAAGGTCCTCTTTTGCTCAGACAGATCGACCAATGAGGACATCCCTGATTGATTCAAATAATCCATTAGATGTTTGTTGAATAATCCCATAAGGAAACAGGGTGTTCCACGTGATCCTAACTACCAGTCTCCTCTTCAGAACCCACAATTGATGTCGTTTTGCGGCCATTTTGCAGGGCCATTCAAACGCCAGGGGCGATTGGGCGCAGACTTTTCAGGGTTGGTTGCAGATTTGGTGGGGCTGTTCAACGTCCGAGCTTGGCGCTTTGAACTTCACCTCTTCGGCTTCGTCGGTTTCGTCGTTTGGTGCGGAGGCCGGAAGGTTCAGCGCGATCATGCGACGATGCACGCGTTGAACGTTTGGGGCAAGAGCTGATTGAGTTGACTGCGAAAACTTGAGGACCCATTGCACTGTGCAGGTGTTTGTGACACGAAGGCCTGTTTGCCGTTAAACTGTTGTCCGAAAAAGGGGGAACCATGTATTTGATGAGAAAGAAAGCTGAGCATCTAAAAATAAGCGGACTAAAGCATGCACCCCACAATGACAAACCATTATGTAAACATGAACCAAAAAAAATAGACAAGCGTGTCCCCTTCCATGGAAACACCGGCTTCATTTCCGGCCTTTGGCCAGCTGTTGACTGCACTCATCCAGAATTCGGAAGGTCTGAGAAATGGCCGACACTACCTCGGTGTCGCTGCGACGGAGCTGCGGAGCTGTGGGGCGGCCCATGGGTGTATGGAATTCGGTTCTTGGTGGCTCTTAACAGGGAAAACTGACGAAGACTGACCATTTTGACCCACAGAATATCAGAAGGATCATGTCTGTACTCTTCAAGAGAGTTCAACAATCAACTAACTGCAGCTTGGGGGCATTCTTCTACCAAGCAGGGTAGGACAGGAGTGGACATCCTAGACATAGTGGTCATACCCAAACAGAATGGTCTGTGAAACATTATGAAACATTAATATGTATATATACCTATATCTATCTGCCGATATCTCAAGATCTGTCGACATGGCAAACATTTTTTTCCATGCATCTAAAAAGCAAAAAATAAAATATATTGGTTGGGTCTGTCCTATTACCTGTAACAGTGGATGATGATGGTTCAGTCGTAGGCCTTGTTCAAAAATGATGATAATTGTTTACAGGAGAGACATGGAGAGACCCGACATATTGGACCCATCCAAGAAGGACCGGAGATATGGACCCACGTCTGCGGCCCTGAGGCCCATGGTCCCGTCCTGGTCGATTTCGGGGTCGAACTTCCCCCCAGCTCGTGGCGCGACCGGGTCGCGGAGGGACTGGCCGGTGTAGGTTCAATCGAACCGCAGTAGATTCAATAGATTCGATCCAACACCGGATAGATTCCGCAGATGTCACTCAGCCAAAGTGTGCTTTTTACTTTTCAGGAGACCCACGCCTGAATGGACACCTTGATCATATTTTGCCACGTACTCTCCACGCTCTCCACACACTCTCTCCTCTCCACCCCTGGGATCACAGTGGCAGGTGTGGAATCTGGAAGCTGCAGGCCGTACCATGGCAAGCCCTCACGGCGGTAGAGTGCCTCTTCGGCCACGAGGACGTTCCTGAGCAGCAACCCAGTGAGGGGGGGTTCCCCAACACAGCTGATGCCAACACACCTGAGCTAAGGCGATCTGCAGAAGAGGAAAGCTGGACCTGATCGGCCAGTGAAAGCCAGATCGGCTCTGAAAGCAAGATAGGTCCACCTGCGAAGTAGAGCTCTGCATCTTCAGGATCATTCGGAGTCCTCAAATCCCATTTATAGGTGTGTATGCAAAAATAGGGAGACCGACACCGCCGGCGTTCCGACCCCTCTGGAAGGTTCGGGAAATCGACCAGTCTAGCCAGCCAGTCTAGCCAGTTCGGGTCATAAAGAGGAGGCCCTTTGGACATGCACCTCTAGTGGATCGTGTTGTGCTCTCCTGTCTTGTTGGCAAGGCTCTCCACAAAGTACTGCTGGAGACGCTCGTTGGCCAAATTGATGCAGAGTTGCTCAAAGGAGTTTCCTCGAAACCACTGTAAGTCCATCACCAGCAGTTTACCAAGCAACACGTCAGAATCGCCCCTAGGCGGAAGATACGAAAACTGTGCCCTACAAACCGGTTCTTGTAGGTTGGAACTCTCAAACCAACGCGTTTCGATGCTCCACTCGTTCGCGAGTGCCCGTTCGCTCGCGTTCGAAGGCAGCAGACGCTGAAGCCGTTCGAAGCCATAGATGTCCAGGATGCCAATCTCCCGGAGTTCCTGCGATAACGATCGATCAATCGTGCTGCCTCCTGCAGGATGACTACTTCCTGCAGGAAAATGAATGATCACGACTACTGGTGACCATGATCCAGGGGACCATTGAATGAAGAATCCATAGGACCACTGATCATGGTGATCATGGATCGGATCAAATCTTGGATGCTCCCATGATGTTTCATGTTCTATTCCTGCGATCTTGGTCAAGTGAGACACTCTGGAGAGCTGCAGAAGAGCTGCCGGAGTCTAGACACTCATCCATTTGGAATCACTTACGGTCCCCGTATACCTCGCAGTCAAAGCTTCAACACGACGCACCTTTTTGCTGGTTCAGGGCACTCCTTCCCCATTCGCCCCAGAACACCCATGGCCAGCCCCGCCTCCTCGCAATGACCGCGAGCCGCTTGCAACTCTTGAAAGGAACCTCAACCGGTCCCGGCCCTCCGCGGGCGCGTCCGAACCGTCGCGCTTCGCTTCGCGCGTCGCGCGACCGGTCCGCGTCGAAGCGCCCAGGGACCGTTGATGCGGAAGACCAAGCGTTCGAAGAGGCGCTTGTACAGGGCCTTGATGAGACTGTGAAGAGCATGTCGGAATTGCGCCGTGGTCCGTGGCACCTGGACGGCGAAGGTGAAGGTGGTGCCACGCACGCACGAAGAGTCGCTGCGTCTTCTTTGTTCCGCGGAATGCTCAAGGAGCTGAAGGAAAAGCAGTGGAAGGCATTCTTTCTATAGACATACTGAGGAGTCCAGTCTCTACATGTTCAACTGGATATAACTGGATATAACTGGCACCTCTTCCTTCTTCCATCACTGGCACCTCGGCTATTTGTCCCGTCTCCCCTCCTCCCCCGTCTGTCCGCGGACTCGGCACCCCCGGGCACCTCGTGCAAGGACTCGCGCCCCGGGTGCGTCACCCGCACCTTCCGCCGGCGAAGGGCTCCCGCTAGCTCGGTGGCATCCATCCCCAAGAGACCAGCTGCCTCGTGCGACCGTCCCGCAGTTGGAGAGGTGGAGGTTGGGAAGGAAGGCCTGTCTTCCGCACCCAATGAAACCGGTCGACCCCCAAGAAAGCGACGTACCGGCGTCGTACCGAAGGCACCTGCGCGGCAGGTGCCGCCCCGCTGCACCATCCCGCCTTGGCCAAGATCTCTTCGTCCAGTTGCACCGTGGACGTTTCATCGCCTCCGCTTCCCCGCGGCGGCAGCGGCGGGAGGAAAGGGGCCAGAGAAAGGTGTCCGGTCGTCCCTCTGCAGTTCATCTTCGCAAGTTCGAGAGAGAAGAGAGGAGGGGTCTCACAATCTGTTTGGCTTGCCAACTCCTGCACCTCATCATCTCTGGGTGTCGTTTCGTGTCCTTTGGACAAGGGAATGGAAGCCCAACTGACAAGGCCTAAGTCTACTCTGTAGGACATGTAGGAGGCACCCCATTCTTCATTTTGCTTGTCCCAGGATGTCCCAGGTACATAAAGAGCCCGAGTGAATTTGAACCATCCAGGTGCAAACAAACTCAAGTGACTAGGCAGAAGAGTTGGAAGAGGCCTTCTTTTCGAGGCAATCATCAAAGCCTGCAGGCTGGGCAAGAAATACAGCTCCCAATAGCGCTTGAAGGAGTCACCATGGAACTCGCCCCGATCGAAACCCCGCCTTCGTCTCTCTCAGCTAAAGACAGATCCCCCAGGTGCACCAGTCCAGCAAGCACCTCAAACAAGAAACCGCCCATAAGTGTTCAAGTGGGAATATGATGCTGCAAAAAGGTCATGAGGAGACCTGTTTTTAGGCAAAGGTTTCAAGGATTCAAGGAACCAGCATATGTCAGATCTTTGTTCCATGGAACGTGCACTGATTCGCATGGCTGTTGTTCAATCTCCAGTTCCATACAACACCTCATCCTTTCGAACATGACATTTTGACATCGAGAACAAAGGCTCCCATACCCAGTTCAACCCATAGGCCATACCCGTTTCACGCGTTTTCAACTGATTCGATCAATGGCCTGGAAGGTGGAATCCATGTCGTCTTGGCTGAAGCCTACCACCGCCAAGGCATCACACAAACGTCGGAAGTTCTTCGCATCTCTCTCCTCGAAGGAAGGCGTTCCACGAGCGAGACCGCAAAGTGGCGCTGGCACTCAACGCACAGCAAAACACCTGGAAATCTTGTAGCGGACGACCTGTGACCAGTGAGTGTTGGTTGTTTTTGTGTCTGGGCCCTTAGCCCTTGTTTCAAGGTTGAATGAAGACTTGCACATCTGCACTGGCATGGGGAATATGCTGGGTCTGCTAGGGCACGACGAAATCCTTCTGGATCGGTCAATTTTTGGCCGCCCCAAGACCCAGGACGCTCACAACTCCTGGAACTCACCGTGCCACTTCTCATCCGTGTCCTTGCAAAGTGACCGAGGGTGGAAAGCAAATGGACTTCTTCCCACCTTCTTCTTTCTTACCGTGCCAACGGTGCACCCCCAAGCAAAGCAAAAAACGGCCCAAGAGCCAGCCGTCCCATTATACTGATTGCAAAAAAAGGACTGCCCAACCAGAAACCGCGACCATCAGGAGTGTCAAGTACTGCGTTGGGTGGTCCGTCAGGATGTCTGCGGAAAAGCTCCGCGCGCAAGGCAAGGCTACGGACCAATGCGGACCATGTGCACGCTCTCGGATCTGTGGTGTGACCAGAGAAAAAAAGTGCAGCAACTGATCTGGTCACCAGTGATGGATGAGAAAACTGCACCAGAGTCGAATCCAACATTACCACGTGAGAGTGGTCGCAGACCATGCAGAGAACTCTGACTCTTTTCCATCGAAGGCGTCCATCGAAGGCGTCCAGGCGCAGCTCTACGGGTCGACGGAATTGGAGGTCGGGCGTTCGGAGCTGCAGGCGATCGGCCGAACCGCGCACAGGACGAAAAGGAGAGGACCTGCGAGCACTGCGCGGACTGCCTAGCCGCGGTGCAGCCTGTGACGGCACGAGGATCGTTCGCACCGTGCTGTCAGGGTCCGTCCGTGGTGCCCGCGCAGCCGCGGGCGAAGTTCCGTCCAGGACTGCGCCTCCCGGAGCGGGAGCGAGCCAGCAGGCGCAGAGACAGAGCAAGTTCAACAGCCTTGGGCAAGACATGTAAGGAGTTAAGGCCGTAATGACATGAACACATTGGAAGGAAACACGGGCGCAGTAGAAGTGGTGAGGACCGGGTTTGATCAAGTGTATGCCTGGCAAGTTCGTGGGAGCTGAGCTGTGCAGTCTTGTTGCTCGAGATTTTCCAACATAGTCTTCCTGTGGATTTCCAAAAGCATTGAGTTTACTAGGGTGAAACCACCGCAACGCATACCACACTTATGAGCGGCCAAGGGTGCATATAGAAAGCACGGGCAGGAGGGTACACATAATTTGTATACACGAAAGGACGAACATAAGTGCAAACATACAAAAGCGCAGACAGGAGAGCATACGTAACAGCACACACAGGAGAGCACACACGATAGAGCACTGAGCACAGGCATGAGCAAGTTTGCAGTATTCATGCATGAGATCACAATCGTGAAATGACACCTCTGAAGACATGCATGTGAAAGCACACAAGCACACATACGACAGAACACATACGAGAGCACACACGTGAGAGCATAGGAGAGTACGCACACAAGAGCACACATATGAAAACATACATATGAGAGTGCGCACATGAGAGCACACCAACGAAAGAGCACAAATGAAAGTACGCATATGTAAGCACCGATATGAGAGTACACGTGTGAAAGTACAAGCATGCGTGAGCGCACACACGAGAGCGCACATACAAAAGCATTACTGTATTTGTAGGAATGTGTGTGTGTGTGTGCCAAAACACGGGAGAGCAAACACAAAGGAGCGACCCAGGTGGACAAGTGCAAGCGTTTGAAGTTTTTCACGCCACCGAGTCGAGCCTGCGAGCCTGCGAGCCTGCACTTCGAAGAGGCGAGCAACACCTACTGTAAGAACCCCCCAACTGTGATCAAACTGTTTTGGGGGAGAAAAAAAGACGGTTTCATCCATCTCCTCGGCATCGCTGGCCAGGAGAAGGTGCCGCTTCCGCTTCGTGGGTTCCAGGTGCCATCTCAGTAGCTTCTCCTTCGGAAGACCACTCAGCATCTCCTCAGATCTCGGCCGGTCCGACCCAGGAGGAGGGGTTGCAGTCACGGCGCACAGAGCTTGGACGGCGCCCAAGAGGTCGGGATGCCAACAGCTGAGCGCCAGGAGCGTGGTTGATGTAGACACCAAACACCCCAAAAAACGAAGCTCCAATGTGGCATGACAGGTTTCTCATTTTGCTCTCATATTGCTCATCTTGCTCAGGTTTCTCATTCTTCTGTACACCCAAGAGGCATAGAAGCAATGGTAGGTCCGTTCGGAGCTGCTGTGCATCACGACCCGTGAGCTTTCCAGAAGATAGGTGGTCACCTGATGACTGACGGTGGCCCCAAATGAGGCATCTTTGAGGTCTTGGAAGAGGGGTACTTTGGTATGATCAAGCAAGTCATGAGCTTTAATTGAATACAAAATAGATCAAAATAGTACAAATGAAACAGGCATGCCATGTGCGCTTTGACTACATCAACCCAAAGTCGTGAGGTCCCTGGTTTTGTGCAATGTGCAATCCAAAGTGAGCAAAATACACGTGTTTTGATGAGGAATGTCTCCCCAGGTTCCAACTCCACATGGCTGAAGACAGGGATTCCAGGTTGTCGTCCCTTTCCACTCACTCCTAACATTCAGTGCAAATCAGGCAACATTCATGTTGCTACCAGGTCAGGTGCTGTTCCAAACAACATGCAATCACATCTTCGAGGGACGCCAGCATCCATCAACGTTCCAGTCTCATCGAAGAAGAAGCGCTTGTACTTGCCGAAGCGGGAAGAGTTGTTATTCCTGGCGAACAACACACTTGCCCAAACAGCCCCCCAAACAGCCCGATGGCTGCGAAGAAGTATCTGGGTGGTCAGTACCACAGAGTTCTGGGATGTACTGATCTGCAAGGTGTTCAGAAGTTCAGTCATATATCATATGCGCTGGGTTCCCCCCATGAAACACACGTCTTCTTGAGACTGCTCAGTCGGGTGTTCGAGTCCAGATGCACGAGGTCGTCACATGCTGTATCGGTGTTTGATCTCTTGAATACCTAGAGACTGAGTGACCACCTACCACTCGAAAGGCCTGGTCTTTTCCTATCAAAACAGAGGTCAAAAGAGCTCTATAGGGATATCTAAACAGAGAGTGTCCCGCTTACCAGATCACTTTCTCAAACATGTTGACTCTTGGGATGTCGGCCAACCATCAACATCCACATCCACTGAAACCTGTACCGAATGTACCCCCTCTCCAAAGACCTTCACCTCATGCCCCCCCCCCCGGTGGCACCGCTCGTCCGTCCCGTCCCGTACGGAACGGTCCGGCGGAACGGCGGAAGCGGTCTCCTCATGGTGACGGCATTGCCGAAGCTCTCCAGGATAGGCTGAGCTTGGAGAATGCGCTGTTGGATCTGCGCCTGGGGGCGTGGATGGCGATGTTGGACACTGCTTGGAGAGAAAGGAGTGAAGATTCCTGCAAATGTGCACAACAATCTGGCCTGGGCTTTCTGGTGTTGCCTTATGATTCATCAAAAAGACACAAAGAATACTCATCCTGAGCCGCTGGGTGGCTCCCTGTTTCGAGGACTTGGTGGTCTGGTAAGCTGCCCCATCGATGTCCACACCCAAGTCTCACCAAGCAAGATATGTCTGGTCTTCCCCATCGCGTGGGGACATGTCATCAGCATGAGAGGAAATGGATCTGAGAATCTCAGACCCCTCCCCGAAGTCTGCTACTGACTCAACGCTGCCAAAAATGACCAAACAGCTGCACTGCTGACAGCTGGATCGCATCCGAGCGAATCAAGCTAGCAGCTATCATAGACCTCCACCCTCCACCCCTTCCTATGACGTCCAAAGTCCGGCCGAAGCTCTGTGATGTTGTTGCTCGAGCCGGAGACATAGCCAAGGTATTGCATGACCTCGTGTGAAGGTCGGTCACTGCTTTTCTGGACGCTGGGTGCGCTTCTGGTGGCAAACCCTCAGCCCGAATCCAATTCCCTTCATCAAAATACACTGCTATAATGCCAGCTTGATGGTTATTGCTGGTACAAGTACCAGAAAAACCCATGAAAACCCTATCCAAAAAGGATGTCTTCAACCCTCCAGAACACCGACTGGTGGAGTCCTCTGCTTCCCCTCTCCAGCGGGAAATACCTCCCTGCTTCCTTTCCGGACTCGCGTCCGAGACGCGATCTTGGCGGTCTCCGTCTTCCCTGCGCCGCTCTCGCCCGAAATGATGAAGCCCTGGTTCCGGTGCTCGCGCACCTGGGAGTTCAATCGATCGAAGCCTCCCAAAACTCAAACCAACCAACCAGTTATTGTAGACGCTTGATTAGTCCCAGGTTTTATGAGGTTTTATGAGGTTGTACAATCCAAATCGAAGAATTTCATTAATCAAGAGCCTACTTTGGGTCTGGCCCGGTCTTGCTGTTGAATGCCATATCCGAGGAACCAAGGCTCGATAGGCAGCATCCGCGATGGCATAGGGATGGGGCGGCAGGGCCCCAATGTGCTTCCCACGATATCTCGCGCATTGCTCAGGGCCATAAAGCCTCGGGTGAGACGAAAGCCTGTGTCGCTGAATCCAACCTGGCCGCACAAGGGTAATTGTAGATCATATCTTTGTACTGAACTTCCGTGCTGACTCATTTGAACCCTCCTGGCAGTCATCATCCACCACTTTTGGGGGTCAGTGGAGTGTCTACTGATTTCTGAGGTCAATTCGCGGCAGCTTCCCACGGCTTCCGACGCTCGTCGCGATGCCCAGCAGCCGCTCGATGTCATGGTAAGGGTTCACCGCCAGCAAGACCTTCGTGGCCGGATCGGATGCGACTGTCCGTCATGGAGAACATGGCGCCCAAGAACGTCGTGTTCTCCGGACACAGACTTTCAATCCTCTCTGGTGGATGCCAATACACTCCTTTTTGTGGTGCCTTCGATGACGTAAAGAGCTTGAACAAGTCACTGCGGTTCTAGGCCTCTAGGGTTGTTCCTTCTTCAAACATGGAGGCACGTACCTCTGCCGCCTGTTCTTGGAGCTTTCACCAGCTCTATCACCCTGCAAAGGGATACAATTACAGGATACACAGGGACCGGTCAATCATCTGCCATCGAAATGTATCGAGAAACTCGGCCAATATCGTTTTGTAATTACTGGGCCTAGTTCACACAGCTGGCAGATGATGTGCATGCAATCAGATCTATTCTCTGCTGTCTGCCGTGTCTCAAAACAAAGAGTCTTCAGCCAAGGGGCACTTGCAGTATAAGTGTAGATATCATCTGCCTATCAAACGGTCGCACGACACACCGTCCACCGGTCGCACGCTACTTCCCCCGCTCCCACCCCGTCTGGTCTCGAGACCACCAGCTCCAAGAAAGGGTCGCACACGCTACGGGCCCTTGCAAGAAGCAAAACCGAGCTCGGCGCCGGGTCAAAGGTACCGACTCCAGCTTCTCCGCTACACCCTCCAGCACCGCACCCCAACAGGGTCGCCGCTCCGCTCCTGGTGGCGTGCTTTCAGGTTCTGCAAGATCGTCGCATCGTTGAGGTACACCAAAGAGGTGTTATCCTGACCTCACGGACCCGACGACGGACCGCGATCCTCTCCTCGATACGGATACGGCTTGACGAGGAGGAGAACCGTGACCGGAGGTTTGGGTTCGGATTGAAAAAGCCCTCTTCGTATGGACTGGACTTGTATTGAATCAAAAGAATCTACCTCAGGTGACTTGTCAAAGCTAGAACCCTGAACCGCATCCGCGCGGCCTGACCAACCGAACCACGCGGAAGCCTTCTGAGCACCCCGGGCACACGTCTCCATCAAAGCACCGCCGCAGCTCGGTCGAGGCCGCCGTGATCGTGGCGTGTTCGGTCTGGACGACCTCGGCGGGGCTTCGGAGGAAGCGGTCTTCGTCCAAGAGGTCAAGCGGTCTGCAAGGTCTACAAGATTTGAAAACGACACAACCTATTAACAGGTCCAATATGGTTGTGTCAATAGATAAACCTACTACAATAGGTGGGGGTCAATATGGTCTTTGGTCTTCCAATAGGTCCATGATAAACCTACTTTTCCAAGGTTTGCACAATCGGTTGTGTCAATAGGTGTTCATGTTGTGCGTGCCTAGGGTTGGTTTTGAAGAACTTTGAGCATGTGTTTGCCCAAGTTGAACAGTTTGGTCACGACCGCCTGGCTCCATCCTGTTCCAAACAGAGGTGGTTTTGAACGTGCCCCAATTCTTCGGGATGGAGGGAACCGAGCTCAGTACGTTGGGTCTGAGGGAACAACACCTCGCCCCATGCGACCGGTTCAAGTGGCCAAGATCGAGTAACAGCACCGATGCTACGACCCATGTCATGTCCTCGTGCTGCTCATGCTGCGCCGAATCCGGTCTGAGAGAACCAGTGGCTCTGGCTCAGTGAGCCCAGACGTTGGCCGAATCCGGGGTCCTCTGAGAAACTGCAATCTGTCAGAATATCCCCTTCCCAGTTTAGCAGGTTATCCCTTCAGCCTAATAGTCCTAGTATGGCTAAATGTTCTAATTATCCTATTTATGTAGCCAATTGTAGCCATATGGCTCAAGCTGTCGAATAATCCCTTCCGCCGAATTAGCGATGTTTCTCCATCCAAACGGAACGTCAAACTGATGTTCAGTTCATGTTCATGTCAGTCGTGACGAGTGCAATGACTCTTTGTCACCTAGGAACCAAACGAAGATCTAGAACTTCTGTTCATGTCAGTCGTGACGAGTGCAATGACTCTTTGTCACCTAGGAACCAAACGAACATCTAGAACTTCTCATCTTATCAAAGCTGACTCGACTCCATGAGAGTCTACAACTGAGTGTCTACAAACTATGATGAACTATGATGAACTGACTCCATGAGAATGCCGGAACTTCTTCTCTTCCCCTTTTTTCCGTCCAAGTGACGAGGACCTCGTCCTCCCGAAGCGCTTGGACCCGTCCGCGAAGGAAGGGCGCCTGGGCGGCTGGGAAGAGGACGGTAGGTGGAGGTAGGTGGACATGGAAAAGACCGTTGACCTGCAAAAACTTGCGTGATGATTTAGCTGCAAAGAATTCATGAATGAATACCCTGTACATGCTTGGTGGCATCAGAAACGATGCAAACGGAGTGGTCTGACGTCTTGCCCTCCCTGACAACCCGGCCTTCCCCTCACATGGCACATAGACCAAGTCATCCACCTCAACTCGAAACGCCGCCAGGGGTCAGGAGCAGACCCTTCGAAGCTTCCAAGGATGAAAATTGACCCGCAGATGGGTTTGTGTTGAATAGGGAGACCTCCCAATGGGCTCTCGTATCTTGGGAGACCTCCCACTGGTCCTTGGGGGCTCTCCTGGTCCTTCCAATACGTTGCATACCCCATAATCAAGAACCAATTCTCTCCCACAAAGGCCCTCCAGTCCCCCGCGCCGTGTTCTCGGCGGCCCTCCCGGCCCTCCGTGTTCTCGGCTGCGTCGCCTGGAACTCTTTGGACTGCAGCATATCGACCTTGTTCTACGCCGCGGCGTAGCGAAGAACACCCGAGCAGCAGTGGTAAAATGGAACAAGGAGTCATCAAAGGAGTTCCAAGTCATATCATTTCGTTTCCAGTGGAGGACCATTTGCTCGAACACCGTCGCTTGACGCTTGATGAGTTCCTGGTAACCACCCCTATCTGTCTCGCCAAGCGGCATGTGCACCTGCCTCGGCCCCCTCTTCTAAGCCAAAGGCACTGGGAGAGCATGAATTCAAGAACTCACCGGACCCCCATCACAGACACGGTCCATCAAGAGCCTGGCCCTCAAAGGGCATGGACTTGAGTGCGTCAAGAACCTCCCCTGTCAGACTCCTGACTCCTCCTTTGTCTGTCTCCTCCCTGTGGATGGGAATCCGAACGGAAAACACGATGGCCCATCTCTCCCGTCGTCCGACGAGATCCTGTCTTTTTTCCCCTCGAAATGATCAGCGCCGAAGGCAGGCATTGCTGCTGGACATCGCTGGAAATCAGGGTTCTTTTCTTGAGTATTGCTCAGTGTGTTTGCTGCGTGAGAAACCGAATGAAACACCACCAGCATTCGGAGAAGCCGTCATGAGCTGGTGGGACCCTTTGAACTTTGGGCTTTCAGTGTTCTCTGATGTTCAATCAACAAAGATCTTTCAGTTCAGCAACCTGTTGGATCTGTTTTTACGTCCTCACGTCCCTCGGTCTCTCGCTATTGAGTTTGATCTATCTGGGCAAGGGCATCGGATATGAGGATCCAGCAAACGTCCCCAATGGTCGCCCCGGCAGGAAGAATCCGAAGTCGACGGCTTGGGGTGCCACCTGCACGAGCGCAGGAGCGGCCGAGCCGGCGAGCGTCGTCACGAGAGCACGAAGAAGTCCTACCCCGTTTCGGGGGCGAAGAAACTCACCAGGCGGAAGGACAAGCGGATGTAGACCGAATTGAAAATTACACCGGCAGAGACCCCAGATAGCGGGTGCATATACTGTATAGTCCTGGGCATGACATGATGTCATTCTGGGCATGACATGATGTCATCCCTCGCATGACATGATGTCATCCTTGGACCAGCACCAGCACTAGCACCGCAACAGCACCCGCAAAGCGAAAGCACCAGCACCAGCACGAGAGCAGCACCCGCAAAACGAAACGCCGATCCAGAGCCAACACCTGCACCAGCACCAGCATCAGCACGGCAGCACCCGCAAAGCTAAAACACTGATCCACAGCCACAGCCAGCACCTACACTTGCACCAGCTTCAGCAGAGCAGCAGCACCTGCAAAACCAAAACGCCGATCCACAGCCAGCACCTGCACCAGCATCAGCACGGCAGCAGCACCCGCAAAACCAAAACGCCGATCCAAAGCCAGCACCTGCACCAGCATCAGCACGGATGCAGCACCCGCAAAACCAAAACGCCGATCCAGAGCCACACCATGGAGAAGTTAGAACCCCTATAAACTGAGTTATCTGGGGAACAACAGTATATAAATTACGCAAGCATCATAAGCCCCCAAAAATTACACCAGCATAGACCCAGATAGCTAGGCAGAATCCCACGTCCCGTTGACATGCGACTGGCTGGAACAATGTACGCAGCCTGCACAGCCAGCTTACGGCACCTCCACAGCGCGCACAATCAGCTGACACCAGCACAGGTGCGCTTTGCCAGCTGACAACACCGGACCGGCAACGGCGCCAGCACCCGACCAGCGCCGCAGCCCGTCTTGAACCCGCGCTCAGCCAGCCCACAGCACCAGCACCCAGGACCACAACACCAGCACCAGCACCGACACCCTTTCGAAAGCGCGCGCAGCCAGCTCATTCTTATTTGCAGCAAGAACCCCATAGTTATCCCTATTTGCGCAATAACAACGTATGATCTTGCGCTTGTGCGCACAAAAGTATGCGCGCAAACAGCAAAGCCCGTAAGTGTCATTGGCCCAAGGCCAAGCAGTATCCAGCGCCACTATTGACTTTGTAGCATGCTTGAAGCAACGATCTGCAGAACGATAAGGCCGTATGATCTTGCGCGTATAAGTTTATGCATGCAAAAGTATGCGCACAAACGGCAAAGCCCGTAGGCGCCCAAGGCCAAGCAGTATCCGGCGCGACTATTGTGCGTGTAGCATGCTGAAACATGCTGAAATAATGGTAGGTTGAGAGCCTGACGTTGCGCATAGAACATTATACATGCAAAAGTATGTGCGCATTGTCCATTGAAAAAAAGAACCCCATAATGGTCCCGTTCTGGGGAACAAAAATCCTCTCGGCCAGGCACACAGCCAGCACCCAGCGCCGGCGCCCGGCACCCTGTCTCCACCACGAGCACAGCCAGCAGCACCCTGTCTCCACCACATGCGCAGCCATCTCACAGCACCGGCACCGGCACCCGGCACCCAGCACCAGCAACCTGTCTCCACCACAGCACCAGCACCAGCACCGGCACCCGGCACCCAGCACCGGCACCCGGCACCAGCACCAGCAACCTGCCCCCGCCACGTGCACAGCCAGCTCACAGCACCAGCACCAGCACCGGCACCCGGCACCCTGCACCAGCACCGGCACCCGGCACCAGCACCAGCAACCTGTCTCCACCGCGTGCACAGCCAGCTCACAGCACCAGCACCAGCGCCAGCAACCTGTCTCGAAAGCGCGCACGAGCAACTCATTGTTATTTGAAGTAAGAACCCCATAGCTTCGCTATCTGGGGAAAAATGGGATTGGTGAACCCTTCAGCTGCTGCGAATCGTCGAACCTTCCGTTTTTACCGTCCGGGTCACGCGCACGCACACGCGGGTGAATTCCCGGGACGGAGACTAAGGACCGGGGTTTGGTCGGCGGGCACTGTGCTCAACCCCGAGCTGGAGTGGCCATACACCAACTCCTGGCATTTCCGTGGTGTTTCAATCATGAATCATCTCCACGTTCCTCCAAAACCCACCTCTTAGTAACAAGTGCCACGCTACTAGTAACAGGTGCATCGCTAGTAGTAACAAAAAGCTACCAGGAACAGAGGTTTCATCCTGTTTCCACCACTTCTGCCAGCTGTTTCCTCACCGAGTCCTCCAATGCGCCTGGCCTTAAAGGCTCCATTGATGCCCCAGGAGGTACTCCATGAGTTGACCGCCAGCACGTAGCCAGGCCCAAAGCCCATGCCTCACATTCCGGCCACTGGCCATGTCGTGCTCTTCCCGGCGGCATGTCGTGCAGTGTGACTCACTGGAGCTCTTTTTGGGGGGGGGGGCAGAGTGCACGCCATTTGTGGCGTTGACTTCTACTAGTAGTCATGCCCTTGTTCCTAATAGCGATGCCCTTGTTACTAGTAGCGCTGTGTTACCAATAGCGATACACTTGTTGCTAGTAATCAACATCAACAAAATGGGTTTCGGGGTGACGGAAGGAACTTCAAAACGTCCTTTGTCTCCACAGTTGAGAATATCTGACACTGTCTCACACTCCCGAGGAGGATGTCAAGAACATGTCCCGCCATGTTTTGCAGCATCGCTCCAACCAAAAGCTTCGGATTCTAGGGCTACAGTCTACAGGTAAGCGGTAAGCGCCCCAATCAAAATCGGACTGATAGAGTTTCTTTAGAGCTTCACCAGTACTTGAAGACCAAAGCAAGCCATGGATCATGACCAGATTGACCACTTGAGGGAGGTGAAAAGGTATCCCCTTCGCCACCCCTTCTTTTCGTGCGAAAAGGACCCTTGGACCAACGATCCCTCGACCCCTCCGACGCGTCGACGGCCAGTGGCGCCTGTCACGGCATGGCCACCCATGTAGAGATTCCAGCTCTTTCTTGTTGGCTGATAGATGCCTCGTCGAGACCCACTAGCTCGGCGGATCGGAACCGCGGATTGGACGGAACCACGGGATGGCCACCACACCGGGTCCGGCGCCTGACTCATAGGCATAGAAGTCCTGGTAGATCCTCATGCCCAGCAAAATCGGCCCATCTTGCATCAACGCCTCGAAATCCGGCCACGGACAAAAAATGGTCCTCTCCAATCTTTGAGCCTGAAAAGGGACTTGTCCTGTATGCTGCCTGATAGATTGCGTGTCTCGTGTGCCAATCAGGACAACAGGTCCTACCAGAAAGCTGACCCACAGGCCGAATAGAAGAAGAAAACATAGACTTATCAGCTCTTTTTGTGCCTGCTTCACCAGGTAATGAACTTGATCTCCCACAGGATGAAGAGCACGGGGTTCATACTGAACCTTAGAGGTGCTGAACCGCCTCCGGTTTTTCCCAACGGCATGCAGCAACCAAGCTCAACGTTTCAACATGTCAAACGCTTTTTGGCCATAGGAACGGGGGGGCCGGTGCCCTCAAATGAAACCAAGCTCTCAAGTAAACCTCGTATGTACGAGTACTTATACATATATATATATATATATACCTGCATAGCTTTGCAGGCTTAAATTTAGCTAGCATCTGGGAATACAGGCTGTATTTGGAATATGATAATATATACATTTTTTTCCAGCTTGATCTCAGGGCAAACTGCCCCCCTTCCAACCAGGTTCTCCGGAGTCCCGGTTCTTCACTTCACTCGTTCGTTCGTCTCCTTCTGGAACCGCGGAGCAAAGAAAAGGTCTCGGTCCAAGGTCCTGCAGGGCGAGTAAAGACTTTGGACCCATCAAAAGGCCCACCCCAAAAAGATCAGAAACGAATTGATCCTCCAAACTAACATTGGATGGACATCTCAAGGAATGTTCTTCAACACCCAACTGCTGGGTTTGCCGCAGTTTCCTGTGTTGCCCGGGGGGAGGCTACCTTTCTCATCTTGCTCTACTTCCAAACCTGTCGCTTTGGTGAAGATGAGAACTGGCTCACAGATCAAGACCCCGTCCTGGGATATTCCACGTATGGCGAGCAGGCGCCAGGGCAATGGATGCCGCGATCGTGCGGAAGGATCTGTGGATAGCAGGTCTCGACGCCAGCCTGAGCAGACAGACCCGCCGCGTCACTCGCAGACAGATCGAGTTCTTCCATCTCCATGACACATGTTTGGGGTCGCATGGCACACTGAGGGAGCATGTGACTCGGTGAAGAGTCGTAGTTATGCAGTGCTTGACCGCAAAATCTGATGTGGGGCTGGTTCTATTGCGAGCCCTCCCCATTCGTTTGGTATGATCTCGCGAAGCTCATCATGCTCCCTCCTACCAATCCATTCATAGGTGTCTGCCGTACATAGAAACCTACACCCTCAATTCGTCGGCCCAACCCCGTCCGAGCCCGGCGTGTTCCCCGTCCTTCATGTTGCCACGGAAGTCGGGCCCTCCGGTGGGCACGCCCCACCTCAGATCGTTCGGACTGCCCTTGGCTAGACTGGTCTGTGGTCCCGAATCTTCCAGGGGTCGGAACGCCGGAGGTGTCGGTCTCCCTAGTTTTACATATACTACCGACTCACGCCTGGGAGGTACGCTTTACAACTCCTTTGTCACTAGTCGAGAGTATACACACCCATGTGAAGATCGCAAGTCGACCAACTTCAGGCGTGCTGGCCGCCGTTCGCGAGTGGATGGCAGAGTCCATCTGCCAATTTCTGCGAAGATCCTTTCTTCCCCAAGACCGTTCGAGACCTTTTGCATGTCTCGGCGATGACCCGCAGATGGGGGAGAAATGTGTAGCAAATCGGGAGCGGTCCCTTCCGAGTGCTTCACAAAGTTGGCAGAGCAGCGGCCATCAAAGAAGAGCCCCCAAAAAACAACCCCTTTCATGCACAGCCCTTAGGGGTGAAGCTCGCGCATGACCTGGAACCACCAAGGAAGGGGCCAGTGGCGGGTGGGTGGTTAAGCACCCCGACCCAATGTGCCCGAGTCGCCTTGAAACAGTCTTGAAGCCCAACAACCCAGAACCTCCCATGCAGTAGTCACGCCCATCAAGCCTGAGCATCCGTGGCTTCGGTGGCGGGGTGACTCATCACATGGCAAAACTTAACTTGGCCGAAACCTGCTTGGCAGGGGCAAAAAAGCATTCTGACGAAAGAACCTCTTCACCCGGAAGCTGCCGACACAAACGCCCCAATTCTGCGATCTGGTCTCTTTTCAGTGCAGAAAGCTGTCACCTCATGCTTTTCGTCAAGAGCTGTGGCTGAACATCCCAAGCTGTCTTCTCCCGGCTCCGTTCTTACTCTTCTCATGCCCGACCTGCAGGCGGCAATGAAGGACTGGCTCAGCCAGGCATTGTCTCCATTGAACCTCAGTCGGTCGCCACAGCTTCTTGTCTTCTCCAGCTGCGATGGTCGGGTCTTGAGGCGATGTCTGGCGATGGCAACCCACACGAGGTCTCCAGGAGGTTCGTTTCAGTGTTGGGCAGCGAAACATCACGTGTTGTTTCGTTTCGGGTGTAGCAGGCAGGGGAATGACTCTTCATGTGAGCCATGGTTGAGAGCCACGAGCCCCCTTCAGCTGAGGAACTGCCCCCTGCTCTGAATGCAGAGTCGGCTTTCAGTGATCAGTGCTGTGGCGTGGCTCCAACAGTTGTTACCTCAGATCTGTGACTCAGCTCTGAAGGTGCTCAGCTCAAGCAGGTCAAATCATTCTATATCATTCTACATGTCTTCATCTCAAGCTAGCTTGTGCGCTGACAGCTGTGAACCCATCCCAACCCCACCCCGTTTCCCCGCGACAGGTTGGCCCAGCTACAGGTCTGGTACCGAACATGGCTGGTGATGGGCTTACACTCGGGCCAGTTCTCTCGTACGTCGAACTCCTCGTCAAAGGCCTCAACTGCGGCAAATTTGTTCGACACGTCGACGACTGGGCGGCTGGAGGGCGGTGCAGCTGAGAAGCACTTCGACTGAGCTCCTCTTGGCTGAACTGGGAGAGATCTTGCTGCAGCATGCTCAAGGTATGATTCTTCATCTCCTCTTCCTCCTGAAAGCGTGAAAATGTCTGGGGAAGCTATTGATCTAGGAAACCATCACAAAAATATTCATCGGGCACAATTGGGATTGTATGCTGTTGTATGGCCAAAAACCTCTTCCAAGGTGGTCCTTTGCAAGTCTCAACCAGCACCTGTCCAAGGCGGTCCTCCTTGCTCATTTCGAAGCCAAGCCTTCAGCGCGCTTTCTGCGCGAATGCAAATGAAACAACCATGTCAACGGCTATGAAACCAAGTGCAACGTCCTTTTTCCCACAAGTTCATTTGCCAATGCATCAGTCACATCAAGATCATTTCAATCGATGGCCGGAACCTCCGGATTCAACTCTGTAACTCTCCGTTCTTCAACTCGCCGCTGGTTTGGACGATCTGGAGTAATGGCCGATTTGCGTGATCATGGCATTCACCACCATGACATTGGGTAACATCACTACGTCATCACCACTCTCGATCTCTATGAAGGTCCAACCCATTTTGGTCACCTTCCCTTTGATGTTATTGGTCTCAATGAAGTCGCCCACGCTGAACTGTCGGTTCACAATGAGCAAGATCCCGGACATGAAGTTCCCTACCAAGTTCTGGCTGGCCAGGCCAAAGGCCAATCCTCCTACCCCACCTAAGGCTAAGATGTGGCTGGGAGACAACCCCCAAGCACGCAAGACGCCGCTCACTGTGGACATCAGGATCAAGGCATTCAGCGCCAAATAGAGGACAACCGCTTTGGGTCGTCGAAAGTCTAAATTCCTCCAGTAGGTGTCGATCACATCCCTCCCCTCCGGTGGATAGCCGTCCGGCTTTTGCAAGGAGGTGATGCCAAACAGCCCACACTCGAAGTAGAAGAGGGCGGTCAAGATCTGTCGGAGTCTGACGCGTCTGTCTCCGTTCAATCCGACCCCACAACCCCACTGAAGGAGCTTCTTCTTCCTGGTCACCCTTCCCCCTCCGGCCCTCCAGAATCGAAGTTAGATGCCTTCACTAGATTAGGTCCAGAGTCCACATCTCCTAGCTGTTTCCTATGCCTTCCCCGGGGGTTTCCGATGCCACCTCGCCTTCACGGTGAACTTCCTCACCTCCGATTCAAACTCCGGGCCGGTCAACACACCGTTCCTCGCTTCGCTCCCGAGGTCCGGTTCCACTCACGTGGCATGGCATGGCAGATGTTGAAAGAAATATCAACACCATGTAAGAGACCCCAAACAGTGTGAGGTTTTGTGTGAGGTTTTGCATGAGGAATTGTGTGAGGTTGTGTGAGGTGTAGTAGTAAGAACCCCGAATGTGTGTCCACCACAGTGTGGGGATTTGTTAAACACCATGTAAGACACACATGTGTGTACAGTGTTTGGCAAGCTTCTTTGCATGTAAACGACGGTTTAACCCTCCCTCCAACAATCCAAGAATCATGGAAGTGGACCGGCATGGCCCGAAAAGACCATGAAATCCTCATGCGTCCAACAAGGATGACGTCCACGTCCATGTGTGCTGAGTTGGGTAAACCATGCGTCCAAATGGTCAACAACTCAACCAATGGAACCCTCTAGCAATCCCAGGTTTTGTGCGTTTGGATGTTTCATGAGCGGAGTGGAGAATGCTTGCGACACCGTCCCCGAACCGAAAAGAGGTCAGAACCGAAAATGATGTCCGACCGAAACAGCCCTGAAGAACGAAAAAGAGGTAAGCTCAGGACGGGCCCTCAGGACGGACCCTTCAGAACCTTTCAGAACTGCTGGCCCAAAAAAAACATGGTTAGAGAATGTTAGAGACCTCAAAACCCATCCAAAACCCTTCAAAACCCTTCAAAACCCATCCAAAACCCATCCAAAGCTTCAAAACCCTTCAAACCCTCCTTCCGAGTCTTCTCCATGCTTCTAAGCTTCCCATCCGGGTCCAATGCCGCGAACTTCTCCGGCAACGCCAGCTGTGCCTTCTCCGGCGCCGCAGAGGCCAGTAGGTTCACCGAGAAGAAGAGCAGCACGCCCACCTTCGCGGAAAACGACCGGGGTTGGACCAAAACGGCTGCAGCTCAAAGCATCGAATGGCCAAACAAAAGCATCAAAGTTCTGACCCAAAACTGGGAAATTGGGAGAATAAGCATCCGTTCAAAAAGATTGATGTTCCTCGAACTTTTGGGTGGAGAAAGAAAATTGTAAAAGGACCCTTTCGCATTGGTAAGCGCCAATTGGATCGAATGATACAATTTGATTGAAAAAAAATCCTTTTCTTTTGTACAAAGATGTCTCCAAAACCGAAACCAGACAACTTCTTTGCGCAAGGCGGGTCTCCATCACATTCCTTGTCCCAGGAATCGCGCTCTGGATGATGTGCTTAAGGCCACGCGTGGGCATGCAGGATGCTAAGGTCTGCATGGGTTTCACCACCCCCACCTCCACCGCGCCTTGCTGCACCAAAATCAAAGGGATCAAGCTCAAGAGCACAAAGGATGCGATTTCCAACTCTGGTGATCCAGAGACCATCGAAGTAATGCTCGATGTGGCTTTGAAGAAGAGCAAGTAGATCCCAACCCCAAAGGTGACCCCACCGAAGAGCGACAAGATCGCTTTCCAAGCCTTTTGCCACTGTGACATCGATGCGTCACTGTGACTTTCCACAGCTCGAGTTCTCATTGGTCTCATGTCACGTGTGTGGCTCGATCCTCTCAGCAGCTCTGGGTGGCCAAAGCCGGCCAAGCGGCGCGGCTTCAACGAGGGAGTGCTGAAAGCGGCATCTTTGCGCCGTGCCACGGCGGCAAAGAGGACCAACACTCCCAAGCTGATGGGGCGAGGTAGGCGAGCCATGGCATCTCAGCTTCTGATCCGAAAGCTGCGAGTCAAAGGAGCTACTTCAGCAGCAGCAAATAGAGGAGAAGCAGGGAAACAATTAGCAGGAGACAAGAAGTCCTATGGCAAGACTGAGCAGCTTTGAACAACCTGTTCAGCCGTTTTGGTCGGATGATTCTCCCAAAGGCCGCTGTTACCAGGATCCAGGATTGGTCACCGTCCATCTCTGGTGGCCCAAAAAACGCTTCACCTAAGTCCGCTGCGTAGTTGAGTGTCATAGCTTATCACCCTGCAAATCCAACGAATTGAAAGACTTTTCTTCCTCAAAGTCCGCCCAATGCGACATTTATCTTCCACGAGCGCGATTCCGGTTTTTGTCACGAACCTGCACACATCCAGCCATTTGGAACACTGCAGGTCTCCACTGGTGATTTTGGTGACCTACCGAGTGGAGTTCGTTTTGCAGATTGAGACGCCGGCCAGACAAGTTGACCCAGACGCCAGTGGGATGTCTAAGAGACTGGGAACTGCCTCCAAATCTTGGCTGTTTCGAGTGGACGCAGCAAGGCGGCTGGCCGTTTCGTGGCCCAGAGTCCGTCCGTCTTGGTGTCTTTTCTTCTCGCCCAGAAACTTGCTCTTGCCCTTGGCCACAGAGACCTTCACGAAGGAGGAATCGTAGGCGGCGGTCCAGGTCGATTCCTTTGGCCGGCAGACGGTCAGAGGGCGACGTCGGCGGCGCGGCACCACACGTTCAGCAAGAGTCGGCGAGATCGACGGGACATCGTCCACGTGTCTTTGTTGCTTTTTCTAAGAGCAATGGCCTCCAACCTCTGGCCGCGCTGGCCTCCAACCTAAGAGCGATGGCCTCCAACCTACTGCGAAAGAAACTGAAAGAAGGGGGTTGGAGCCGGAGCATGGAGTATGTCACCAGTGGTCCCTCTATGTTTCGTGTGCTTCATCTAACGATGTCGTCTATGCAGGAAGGTCAAGGTCTGAAAGCTAATTCGTGTTCGATCACAGTCCGACCCACAGCAAGCAAGCACAGTGACTGTCTGTCAGATCCACAGACCTTACAGCATACATAATGATAATGTAATGTAATGTAGACTCTTGATTAATAAACCCCCGTTTGATTTGGAGATCCTATTCATATGGGGAGTTTATAAATCAAGAGTCTACATTAAGCTCTTGCTTCTTTTGAACCTAAGGAGGTTGGGGTGTGCAAAGCAAGCGGTCTTTTCCACCTGCTCAGCTTGAGCCAAACCGTTTGGTTGGCGAAGTTCATCAACACAGCTCGAATCGAAAAGCTCGATCGAAAAGCGAAAATGCTCATGAGGTGCATGGTTTGTCTCCCACACTCCCCCTGCAGTGCGTCACTGCATTCCTATGGCCAAAAGACCTTTCGGTCAGCCATTCAGTTCTCTAGAAGCTCATAGCTTCCATCAGAATCCCACTCCTCGTTGATGGGCATGGGACCCTGGCTACTTCGGGCAGCGGGCCTGGTGCCCTCACTTCGAGCCGCGGGCCTGGAGGCGTCCCTTGGTCGTCCAGCGCCGGCAGGGCGCGAGCTCCGAGCCACAGGCATTTGTATGCCCAACCATTGAGGCGTCGCTTCATCCGGAAAATTGGGATGCCGGGCAAGCAGCAAACCTTCGGAGTGGAGCGAGAGGATCCAATCCGACCGCTCTTCCTCAAGAGGAACCTGCATGTTGGCTGGCGCAGGCCTCTCCTCGATTCTCCTGTCCCCTCATCCGGCCAAGGTAGCCGAGAGTGAGAGGTGCTTCCATAGCATCCATGCCGCGAGTCGATGCCGTCATCGTCGAGGACAAGGTGCTTGTTGGTGTCCCTGTAGAGCTATCTGTTGAGCCTCTTCGAACCCTCCGGATCCCTCTCAGCAGCTCATCTTCTGGTCGAACCGGCGGAGGCCCCGATGACGCACCGACCTGCGAGGTCGAAAGCGACTGTCCAGGTGGCGTCGGTGTCGAGGAGCTTCCCGTCATCTGGCCAGCAGGGGTTGAAGAGCTCGTTTGTGAATCCAAGGTGGCATGTTCAGGCAGCGGAGGCTGAGGTGGGTTGTCACGGAAAAAACTGTAGCCCACCCACTGCTCCTCTGTCGGAACCATAGGCCTGGTGCCACTGCGCCAGTCATCCTCCACCACCGACTTCTCGCCACGCAGCCACACCACAGTAACCCGTCCACTGCGAATTTGAGCCGCGTCGAATGGCGTCTGCCGATGTACAGGATGGAATGGCCTTTTTCTTGGTTTGACGTGATGTCGAACCCACCAGCCATCGCGCAGCCGCCCCCACCGATCTCGTCCTTGAGGAGGAAGTCGGAACTGCGGCCATTCATGAGGTCCAGCCACCGTCCATGTACCGGACTCAGTGCTGGGCTCAGCGCGCATGGCAGCAAGGCGCACACCACATCCATGGCTGCGAGGTTCGAACGCGGCCGCACGGGAGCCTTTTAGGCTAATGTCGCCCGCCCGTCCCCCCAGCCCAGCGGTGGGTTCATCTTCCCTCACCGATCTTGTGTTCTCTTCCCCTCCTAGTGCGGTGGGTTCATCTTCCCTCACCGATCTTTTTTCGACCGAATCCCGTCCCCGTGGCGCCTCAGCCTGGGATTCCGCCGGAAGGTGTCCAATGATCTTCTTGAGGTCCTGTGCTTTCGAGGCCAGGTATGCTACAAGTGCTGTGATGGTCAAACAGCGTGCAATCTTGTGCGCTTCATGGATTGGATTCCAAACAGCCATTCCTAATATTCCAGCTACAACCGCCTGGAGCCTAGAACAAACTGACTGGTGTTCATCTTTCTGCCCAATCCCTGAAGACACACGTGCTCCTAAAAAGTGGAAAAACTTCTGCCATGAAGCCGGGTTGACGATCGGCTTCGTCAGCAAATCCGATGGCAGTTCAGTGCCAGGAACATGCAAGGCGCGCCAACACTGCTGCTGGATGCGCTCCTTGACGACATAGGCCCTTAGCCTCAAATGCCTCGTACGCCATGGTCCATCAGGCGCAACCAAAATCTTCAGCCCAGTTTGCGAATCACCGCAAAGGACCTGCTCTCCTTCGAGGTGCAGCTTGTGGTCTTCCAAAACATTCACAATGGCCGCCACCGACTCGCCCATCACCACTCCATCAACATAGCCCATCAGCTCCGATTCAGCGCTGGAGAGGGTGGCGAACGGCTGCTGCCGACTTTCCCATTGAACCGGGGCTCCATTGTAAGTGACCAGCAACCCCTGTTGACCTCTTCCACCTTGGGGACCGTGAGAAGCATCCGAAAAAACCCGAACACTGGGGAGCTTGGTCGCCTCGGACTCGATGGATGGAGCCTCAAACACCTGTTGGGTGTAACACAGCTCATAGTCCACGGTGGAGTGCAAATATCCAAGCATGTGAGCCCCCCATTCCAAAACTTTTCCCGGAGCTTTCGTCACCAAGCGGCCCATGATGGAGACTCCATAGCTGAGGTCAGGCCTGGTTCGCCCGCTGAGCCAGAGCAATTCACCAACGAGAGCCTGGGCTTTGCGGACCTGTTCAATGGAGATGTTTTCCTCCAGTTCATCTTGTACGCCAAGGGGCAAAGGAGTTTGTCTCGACTTGATGCCTTCGTGGCGTGCAAGGAGATCTCGAGTGTAGGAGGTCTGGTTCAGGATGACCTCACCTGGGCGGCACTTGATCTCGAAGCCGCAAAACTTAAGGGACTTTTCTGACGATGCCCACTCCGGTTCTGAACAGCGCCAACGAGCCCTGATTCCATCAATCACTGCCTGAGCCAGTGGACTTGGAGCAGCAACCAGCATATCATCAACGTACACTGCCAAGAAGCCTTCCGAAGTGTCCTTGTCAGGGATGCTATTGGGCTGGGCCTTGACAAGCTTCCAGAGGTTAGGCTCGGGCGTGGTGACCAATTGGTACTCGTGACCTTCAGCCTTGAAGCGTAGCTGAGGAAGTTCTCTGTCGCGATAGTGCGACCAATTTGCCGGGGCATCGTTCAACCCGTAGACAGCGTGGGATATCTCCCAAAGTTCGGTTGGAGGACATATTCCAGCTTCGACGAGCACCCTCGGAGGGCGAGCAACGAGCAAACGTTCACGTTCGTCCGGCCGTGGTGCTAACAAGAACGCTGTCTTGATGTCCACCGTGCCAATTGACCAGGATCTTTGAGCTGCGCACCTCATCAAGCAACGCAGTGTGGTTCCATCTGCTCCTCCTGCATATAGCGAATATGGAGCTTGATCTTTTGACTTCATTTCACCTGCTGAGTTGTCCTGGTCCTCGTTGACCTTGGTGAGGTGGTTGCCACAGATTACCGCCCGTGCTCTAAGACGTCCATGAGGACTCTTGACCGTGGGAACAAGCATAGCTGGAGCGAGTTCCATAGTTGGGAACCTTGGATCAAGGCGCAACTTTTCTTCAGTAGTTGGCTTGATGGCCTGGGTCGATGAGACCAGTTGACCATATTCATCGCGCAAGGGAGGCTTCCATTTTTCCAACTCCTTGCGGACCTGCTGTAGTGAGACCGTGTAGGTCTGGAGCGCCGTGACTGGGACCTCAGTTGAACCAGCCATTGGAGCCAGAGAAGCCATCTTGTAGTTCTGCAAGGAGGAATGCTGAAACGACAATTGATCTTCAGCACCTCGGAGCAGCAATTCAACTTCACGAAGCCAGCTGCCATGAACGCTTCCAGCGTCTTCACCAACTGCAACTTCTCGAAGACCTTGACACCAGAGCTGCTTCAAAGCCCAGTGACGTTGTTGTTCAAGTTCATGCCACTGCTCTGCCTGTTGTCGTGAGCAGCACATAGGATCTTCCAGCTCCCCCGGAAGGTCAGGGTGTTGACATTGATCACCTTGATCATGAGTCTTGGGCGTGGAGCCTCCAACAACCTCCTCCGACTCCCCTTCATCCTCAACTTGAAGTGCCAAGGAGCAGCCAACCTCATCCAAAAAGGGCAAAGGATCCTCCCCCCCCAGCTCGGCATGCAGCAAGAGCTGGGTCAGACTTATCATACAAGGCACCCACGGCTCCAAAGAGGATGGTCAGGTAGAGGTGGTGGATGTTTCCCCACAATGCGGTGCTTGATTGATGGCACCTCCTGCAAATCCATGATCGCCTGGTCAGCCACCGGCGAAGGTTCCAAAGCCGTCCTCACATGCAGCAGCTGCCCCTTCTTGTCGCGGGCAATCCACCCATGAGACATGTATGGACATGGTCCCAAGAGCTGCATGGTGCGGTAGGGCATGGAGAGTTGTCCAGCACGATGCCATCGTTTGGACTTGACCAAAACTGAAGCTCCATAGCGAAGCATTGGTGGGCTCGGCAGGCCCAATCTTTCAAGTTGTAGGCGCACACGGCCTTCTGCAGCATGGCGTAGGGCTGTTGGCCAGAGGGATTGAGGTAGTCCAGAATCATGTAGAAGAAGTCGAGTTCGACGCTTGATCTGGTTAACTTCTCCCTCAATGCGGCCATTGGCCTTCGAGTCATCGCCTGCAGTCAGAGTCAATCGAAGTTGACGTTGTTCACACCATTTTTGAATTGGGACTGAGGCAAAAGATCGTTCTCGATCTGTGTGGAGGCGGTACACTTGGATGCCCAGCATGCGGTACTTGGCATGTAGTCGAGAAAGGGCACGGACCAAAGACTCCACAGTTCTGTCTGGGATCACCTCAGCAAACGTGATATTTTGGTGTCCAGGAGCTTCTTGGGCCTCTTCAATCTGGGCCAACTCATTGAGCCGCTGAACTTCATCATCAGAGAGCATCTCTCGCTCTTCAGGATCACAAGGCAGGTCCTCAGTGTGCTTGACGTCGTCTGCAGTGTCATAGGGCTCGGCAACCTCGCCTGGAAGCTCTGAGACGATGGGCACGGCCACAGTGGAGATCAGTGCATACTTACAGGTCACTCCAGTGCCGAGGTCACGACCAGCAGGGAAGGGTCCACATAGATCCGCTGACATAGTGAACTTCGTTGCACTCCCCCCAAGTCTTCTGTGAGGCTTATCACAGCCCATCGCTTCACCACAGATTCGGCAGTCAGCACGAAAGGGAATGTGCCCCTGTTTGATGTGTCGGTGCCAGGCTGCAAGGTCCATTTTGGACATGTTGTGGGTGTCACCACTTCGACTTTCCTCCTCCAAAACGCCAAGCAACCTCCGCAGCGATTCCTTGATAGCAGCCACAAGTCCTGGCGCCCAAGCGGCCCAAGACTTTGAAGTGCGAATGCGATCTGCCAGCTTGGTGGGTAGTGGACCATCATCACAACCTTCACCCTGGAGACCATGTAGTTCTTCGAAGGCCGGGAGGTTGGTGAGGACCGTCGTGGGCTTCTTTCGCTGATGACCCAACCGTCCTTGGTCGAAGGTGACCCGACGAAGTCCTGCAGTTCCAACCCAGGCCGTGATTTCCGGGAAGCACCAAAAAGATGCGCTTTGAGCTCCTTCTTGATCACTCAAGTATTCAGCTGGGTCACGTGGAGATTCCAGCAACATTCCAACATCCGTGGGAACACGACGGCATTCTTGAGCACGTAGCCAAAGACCTATGTGCTTCATGCAAAGTGCAGTGTCGCCGTGGGCCAAGCGCTGCTCATCATCGTCCAAATCAGGAAGGCACCAACGATCTTCTCCTCGGCCACGTAGTCGTCGAGGGCCAGGAGCCTTATTTCGAAGGCGGCTTACAGTTCTGCATGGAGGACCTCCAATGATGGCAACAATGCGGCCAAGTGATGCCAGCTTCCACAAGTAACTCCAAACTGAAGGGTTGTGGAGGTTCAGGGCTGCATTGATCTCAGTGTCGATGCACAGCCATGAGTAGCGGCCTCCACCAACATCATTCCATTTCTTCGCATCAGATCCACTGAAAAGGTGAACAATGACACCCTTTCCAGTCATATGGGCCCGTCGCAACCTTCGATTCCAGGGCGGAGCTGTAGATTCTTGACTTTGACCAGCCATGTGCTGGAGAACTGGAAGTGGTAGTTCAGGAAAATGCTTCTGCCACCAACTTCGATCCTCATCAGAGAGAGCCACCTCCCCCTGATCCTCCATCTCAAACTGCGCCAACATGTCCAGCGCAGGCTGTCGATGCATGATGGGGCATCCATTCCTCAGCCAACAAGGGATTGGTCCCAGAGTCGGGTGGTGGATGCTACATCCTGAACGTCGCCATTCCACCTTGAAGCCGCGCTCAACCAAGAGGCCCAGAGGGATGATCGGCTCAACTTCCGTCAGGGACAACAAGGTGCGATGCTTGGGGCGGCGATACAAAACTGTTGAGCCTTGTGCCAGCTCCACTTCAACTGGAAAAAGTGAGCAACACGTAGGGCATGGGTGGCCCCACCGTCCAAAAGGGCAAACCCCTGAGTTCCAAACTCCTGAGGGTGAGCACTAATCTGCTTGATGCGCATCGTCTTCACGGACCGAAGCGTCTTGAGCAGCGTTGCAGCTTCTTGGATGAGGTCTGTGGCGATGTCATTCTTGGGCTTTTCCTCCAGCGTTTTGGCTGGAGAACCACCTCCCGAATCCTTCAATCCCCCTCCAGACACCGTCGTCGGCGACAAGGGCGATGGGCTCGAAGTCGATGTAGACCCAGGACTTCCCACTTCCACCTCCTTTTCTTTGGTCGGGCTTTCTTTTGAACCCTCGGGTGCAACTCCTCGCAAGCGAGCTGCCTTTCTTACATCCTTGAAGTTCTTGGGCTGTCGGTGCACACAGTCCTTCGCCATGTGACCCTCCCCCGAACAGTAGAAGCACCTGTCGGTCCAAGCCCTCCCAGCTATGCCCATAGCCACAAGTGTCTCCTCGTTTACAGCCATGTGGGTCCCCCAAAACTTGCATGGAGACCGAGGTTTTTCTTCTTGAGTGCCGGACTGCGTCGCCTTCACCACCGGAGTCTTTTCATTGGTAGTGGGCGAGCTCGTCGTGTTGGCGGCACCCTTGGGGACTGCAGCAACCAAAGCCAGCTCTTCCAGCTCCGCCTGCAGGTACTCGCTGAGGTCCTTGATGGAGTTCATCTCCGGACGTTGATCAACCAACAATTCCTGGCGCACAGTTGAGACTCTGTACGCCACTTGACTGCCTCCCAGCTTGGCCAACGAGTCCATGATCTTGCCAAGGACATTCATGAGGATCAGCGGGTCTGGCAGCGTGACCTTAAGTTCTTCAGCTCGCTGCAACCATCGGCGCCATTGCCGCATAGTGGCCAGGAGCTCCGTGACGGAGTGACCCACCTTCACTTCGGTGAGGCTTTTGAGAAGCGTTGTGCGTTCAGCTCCTCCTCCAGGTTGAAACACTACAAACAACTTGAACAGGATGCTCACAGTTGCAACGTGGCGAGAGGAGATGACATCTCTTCTCAGTTGTTCGGGCAGGATGCCCAGCAGCAATGACACTCCCCGCTGCTCCACTCTCTGGTACAAGGGGTCCACAGTGACATCTTTTGGCCGCAGGCGCAACCTTTCCAAGGGTGTGGCCACCAGCCACTGTTCATAAAGTTCACGGGCGGCAGAAAGGCATCCATCCCACCAAAACTGTGAGGTAGAGGACAAATCCGCCATCAACGGATAGGCCACAGTCAGCCAATCCCCAAACTGCAATGCCGCGCCTTCGGATGAAGGTAGTGGAAGGGCAGGAAGATCCAAAGCCCTGACGGTCTCTGGAACGACCGGAGCCAGCGGAGTTCGAGCATCCCCATGAGGTTGTCCACCATGAAGGCCTGGGGGAGGATCCGGTCCTGACCCGGGAGGTCCACCTGCACCTGAGGGATCACCATGTGGTAGTCCAGGATGTGTTGTAGTTCCACGACCATCAACTCCACCACTGGCAACGGAGGCATACGACGATGCATCACCACCACCTGCTCCATCAGTTATGCGTTTGACTTCACGAGCGAACTTTTCCTCCGCCTCTTTGAGGATCTGGGTACGAAGTTTCTCAACATCCCCAGGTCCTGGACTTCCGTTGGTAGCCCGAGCACCTGCACTTTCCGCCATTCTCACATGACCTTCACCTCGTGCAGCTTGTTGAATTGAAGTGGTCCAGAAAGGGTTCACAGTGGCAAGGGGGCCCTGTGGCGTGCGAAATGGTTCAAGCACCCTGGGTTTCACCTCCTCCCGCTCTACCTGCCTTGTGCTTGCAGGCGTGCCCATTCTTGGATCACCGTGTGGAGCTCCAGGTTGATGTGGAGTTCCAGCCAAAGAACCTTGCCCACCAAAGAATCCGCCTCCTGGTGGATGAGGTAATCCCGAACCTGGTCCTTGAGGTAGTTCAGAACCTCGAAGAAGGGGATCTAAAAGTCCCGGAGCCGGCGAAGGTGGCACATGGTGGCCTAAAGCCTGTTGCAACAACTCGAACGACTGGCGTGCTGCTTCTTGCAATCCGCCCAGACCCAAGGCGTTAGTTCGAGGATCATGCAAGGCACTCATGAGGCCTCCAGCCCCGGCCAGCTGGCCAGCTGATGCATCGTGATGCCCTCCATGATGTCCAGGTTGAGGTGCCAAACTTCCCTCTCTTCTTCTTCCTTGAGATTCATTTCCCTCAGCCGTAGGGTGCATAGCCAGGCGCCGGACAGCAAGATCATCTTCTGCAGGTAGTGACGAGGCCCGAGCTGCTCGTTGCTCCTTGAGCAACCGGTCCAACTTTTGATCTGCTGTTTCTTCAGGCGGTGGCCTTCTTCGATCTTCTCGAGGTGCACGTCGAGGCTCCGGCGCTTCGGCGGCAGCAGCTGGCTCTCGTGAGCCCTGTCGGCGCCGGCGCTGGAGGGTGGCCATCGCGGCCAACAACCACTGTGCTCGCTCAGCAGCAGTGGGTGGACTTCGAAAACACCTAGCACCTTGGGCTCATAACCTAAGGAGGTTGGGGTGTGCAAAGCAAGCGGTCTTTTCCACCTGCTCAGCTTGAGCCAAACCGTTTGGTTGGCGAAGTTCATCAACACAGCTCGAATCGAAATGCTCGATCGAAAAGCGAAAATGCTCATGAGGTGCATGGTTTGTCTCCCACAGAACCAAAAGACCTTTCTTGAATTTCAAGACCTCTTTATACGGGGGGGCTGCAATATCATCAATAGTCCACCGATCTACATTACGTCCTTCTGCCAGGTTTCTCCACTGCTGCTCATCTTGTTCACCGTCTTGGCCAGAGATTCCGGCACCACTGGTCTCATGGCCATGTAGCCACTCTGAACCAGATTCTTCCAGCCGGAGTACTGCTCAGAACGGCTCTTCTTGGTGACCACTCCTGAGCTTCGAACGCCACGCCGCGTGGCCTTCGCACGCGCGGGTCGACTCGAGCATCGACTCGCTTCTGCGAAGCCGAACCCGAAGCGAAGCCGAAGCGAAGCCGAAGCGACATGCATCGAGCTCCTTCTTTGTATAGGGTACCGCTGGTTGAAAACTCATCCATGGGCCAACGCGGATGGAAGTGAGGAGTCCCGAGGAAGAATGACGACAGGAGGTTCCCGATGGTTCCGAAGACCAAACAGGTGGTGAACTGCACTTCCAGTCACTTCCATGAGTTCAGGGAGCGTCAGATGCAATCGGTGGAACTACCACACCCCGTGTCCCCTCAGAGGCAAAAACCCAACATCCTTCTGTCATTAAATGGTGAAACTCACATCTGGAACACTGCACAATGGGCGTTTCCATGCGCAAAGAATTTCCTCTGCTGGTACCTCTTCAAACCCATCCACCTCGCGTCCACTGTGTCCACCGCACGGCGGAAACGAGGCGGCTCGTGGCCTTCTTCCCCCCTCGCCGAGCAACGCTTGGAGTCCCCAACGACCAACTCTTTGAAGCGATCACGAAACTCCGAGGTCTCCTGGCGGCCGCGTCGTCAAAACGCGTGAGTGACGTTGACGCGTGGACGGCCGACACGAGGTGGCGAGGTGGCAAGGGGAAGTTCTGGACAAATCTCCGGTGCGCCAAACGATGCCGCGACGGTGCGGTTTTGGTCCCTTTCGTTTTGGCAGCAGCAGATGAAGTGCGCCACTCGTTTTTGGGCTTACGACTCTCCATCGTTCCTCTTACTCTGAAAGCCTCTCCTCCTTGCTCAAGGGAGGCACCTTTTCGTCCATGCGCGCCTGAAGGTTCCAACGAGAGCGAAAAAGAACTGTCAAAACGCCACGAACCAAGAAACCGACAAGCCACCTTCAGGTGCTTTCACTTCCTTTATCAATAAATCGAGGAACCACCACCCACCTCCACCCACTTTCTCCCCCGACCTCGACATGAAGCTGTACAAAGACGGACTCAGCTGATTTCACCACGGCCTGACCGTCGCAGCGCCGGACGCACGCAGCGCTCCCTACCAGGGTGGCCTTGCGCTTGCGCCCACTGCCAAGACCCATTCCTTCCTAGTGCCAAGACTGCCCCAACTCGTGCGTGGGACAGCCAAAGATGGTTTGCTGGATGAATCTTAGCAGATGTTGGATATCCCAGTGCTTCGGCTGAAACGGACGGTATTTCTGGCTGCCCCCCCCGCTTTCTTCTCGTGGGCCCTTGTTCGATCCGGACAAACTTCCACACCGATGTGTGTCACCGATGTTTGTTGTTTGTTTTGTTCCCGATGTTTTGACACGTGGGCTCAACATGAATCCCCAACTTTCGAACAGGTCGAAAGTAGTCGCCCAACGCAGCTGACTCTACGACTGCAGTTATACAAGGTGTGTTCATCCCCTGGTTTGGATCCCCCGAAAGATCAGAGCCGGAGCAGCCAATCATAGACGGAAACCTGTCCAACCTGTGGGTCGTTCTTGTCTTCGCATGGGTCCTGGACTGTGGGTCACCCCAAAAACCCGACCCGGACCACGACCTCGCTGGGTTTGCTCCGGACCGGTGGGGAAGGTCGCTCCGCTTCACGACCCTCGCGGGGTTGGCTCCGCCTTGTTGCACCTGGCGGGATCGCTGAGCTTCGATCCGCAGCTGGCGATGACGGCGTTGAAGTGCAGATCCAGCGACTTGCGCCGCTTCGACGTGGGCGGCAAGACCATCCTCGGACCGGAGGACCGGCACCAGCGGAGCTGCGGCTTGATTCTATAGGCATACTGCATACTCATCTCAGATCTATCCTTATCGGACCTGGAGAAATCCAAAAAGAAGAAGAATCGTGATGCGGGAAGCAGCCCTGGCCCTAAGGGCTGCGGCTGCTTTCCTTCTACCGTCTTTGGAAGGCACGCGCACTCGTTGGGGAGAACACAATAACACTCGATGATGGTTTGTAGGTTCCTAGCCCACTTCAGTCTTTGAAAACAAAATAAACAACAGTTGCTCCTCAAAACCGAAACAGCCCAGGTGCGGCGTCAGTGGCGGAGGCGTATCTTCATGATCCTCCAAAAAGGCGCCTCAGCCCCGCTTGTGACCGTCGACTTGGACGGCACAACATGGCACGTTGCAGCCAAGAGACTGTAGCGCACACCGGCATCCTGGTTGGCAGACAGTGGTCACAATTCTTTCCCCGGCCCTTTGTTCGTCCCAACAGGGTGCTTGTCTTTCATCACCGCGCCACCGACGAAAAATGGCACTTGCGGCAAAATGGATCTGAATCCCACCACATGGACCTCTAGTATTGCCCCCCACCCGCTTAACCTCTAGGGGGGCTATCATTCGACACCCTCATACAGGTGTGGACCTTCTCCCCCAACCACCAAGCGCCGAAAACCTCATCCTCACCATGGTCCCATGTGTGGGCGTCCTTGCTACTAGTAGTAATGCCCTTTGTGGCTTCTTGTTACTAGTAGCGATGGCCTCCAACCTATATACTTTCGATGGCCTCCACCTATATTTTGAATGGCATGTGGGTGTCCTCAAAGTCAAATGGAGGCGGTGGCCAGGACTTCTTCTCAGCTTCTGCCTGACGTAAAGGTGCGCTGGGTTGGGGACCCCGGAGACTTGATCAGTCGGGTCATTCGAAGACTGGCTGAAGCCTTGGGCCATCCGAATTCGGACTTGTACTTTACAAGGTGATCTATGACCGGAAGATCAGATCAAGGCTAAACATGCTCACCTCAAGGCAAAGTTCCTCTTTTTCAACAAATGTATTTTGCTCCTACGGGGTGAACCCAAAGGCTTGCAGCTTGTGGTGCACTCCACGCCTGAGCGAGCCGAAACTCCTGGCGCTGGCCGAAGCTCTGGCGCTAAAGGGCCCGAAGCAGTCCCCAGGCATGGTAGAAACCCGAAAACTGCCTGTGCTCTTCCCCCGTGCTCTTCCTTCCTCGTGCTCTTCCCCTGCTTATGGCAGAGGAGCAAAGATCGCCCAGAGACGCACGACGTCCTTCCACCGTCATTCCGCCGGTGCGACGCTCCCAGGATCCTCGGATCCGACGGCGTCCTGCGCCCGTTGCCGTTCTCTTCTCTGCAGCAGGTGTAGTGACGCATCGTCCTCAAGCCCGTTGGCGGCGCGTGAGCACGTTTTTTAAGCGGAAAGACTCTGCTTCCCCCCATCCCAAACCCGTTGCCGTGCACAAGATGGCTAATCCGGATACGAGTAGCATGATTGGCAATGGATTTCTGGGGGTATGATGTCAGGACAGCTTGTTTCAAGTGATCAACAAAAGAGCTTCTCATAGGTGGTGATTTGCTTTGACCCTAGCACCAAGTGAACCAAAACAATACTATATACATATGGTGTGAATCGCCTTGAAACATGTGATCGAAACTACGACACCTCTCACGCCCGACAACCAACCAAACCTATCCAAACCTTCCATTTTCTTGACATTGAGCTCCTTCCTCACCCCCGTCGACTTCCTGCCTCCTCAGCCAGAAGCTCGGCGAAGCCACTGGCACAGGCGCTCGGCTCCTGGTCGCTTCGCGGCCGCACCGTGGCGGACGATCCGTGGCGCTCGTCTCTACGTTGGCATCCAACGGCTGCCCCCCAAGGTGAGGAGATGAGGATGGATGTGTTGATCAGAACCCCTCTGCTGTCTCGTAGGGTGAAAGTCAGTCTGAAGAAATGGCACAGGTAGATGAATTCCAGTTCACAATTCTGCAGGAGCAACTCTGTAAGCGACCAGTCACCATCTTGTCTGAGTTCCCCCGGGTCAGGAAAAAATTAAAAAGAAAAGTGAAAATATGCATGGTTGAAACGCCAAGAGCACAACCAACTACAGAGGCGAAGAGTGCATATATTGTCCAGTTCTTTTCATTCAGGAGTACTTCGAGGGCACCGACATGAGCATGGAATACTGAAACCCTTCAAGCTACAAACATTCACGTCTTTCGCGAACAGCCTACAGCCAGTCCTCTGCGCATGACTCCTGTACGCCGGCAGCTCGTGAATTCGAAGGTGCCACATTGCGAAACGTCCCAATCACACCAGAAACCACATCTGGCTGGACGTCCCACATCACTAGAGTGATAGACGAAACCAACATGAAACCAACATGGGTCCGCACCCAATGGCCAGACCCACCGGAAGCTATCCCTACCTCGTCGTCCACCGGTCCGACTTCGCAAACTGGGAACTGGCACGACCGTCTCGGTCTCCCCACATCGATCCCTTGTCGGGGGGTGAAAGCGTGAAGAAACGGGAAGTGCTGGGAGACCAAATGTTTCTGCTCTTTTCCTTCCAGGTCGGTCCAACCTTCCCTCCAGGTCGGTCCTGGTTTTTGTGGGTCACATTCAGAAGTTGAAAGGATCAAAGACACGATTAGCCCAAGCAACATACCTTTTTAGATCGGAATCTTGATCCGCATCCCCTTCGGAGCTGAGAAGCTTCGGCGTCGACCTCTTGGCAGACACTCCCTTTTTTCGGCGCGCGTCGCTCCTCGCTGGACACCAGCAGTTGCTGGACCTGAGAAAGTGCGCAAAGGCCAGACTGGATGTTCAGCAGAAATGTTCGACGACGTGAATTCCTTCAAACGTCACAGCACCATCACACAGCACCACCGAAAACGAAAAGCTCTTACGGGCGGAAGGATGGGCCAGTCGTAGTTCTCACCCTCCACCTGTTTCTATCCTGAAGTTTCACTGAAGTGAAAGAAAGCGTGGTAGCTCTCAGCGTCCACCCAGGTGGACCCGGCAACATCCAGTCGGTGTTTTTGAGAATCTGCCAAGTACAAAAGATTCGAAGATCGAAGACAGTTGACCATTGAATGCGTATGTATGCCAGGAGATATTCCTGTTGATCGTTCTTGATCCAGGCCCAATCAACCCTTTCTTGAAATAATTTGGTGGTCCCACCATGCTGTTTGTTCTTCCGTGTCGTGCAATTGAGTTCCAGACTGCAGCAAGGAGCCTGGTAGCAAAAATGCAAGAGCGAAAGATGCCAAAGGATGGCGCGAAATTGACTGAATCATCCACAAAGTCTGAAATGCTTCATGAATTGAACCAACTCAGCCCTCGGCCAGATCGTTCTCATCGTCACCACTTTGAGGACTGTTCAGAGCCCGGCTGCGGCCCGGACCAGTTGGCCAGAGGAAGAATGAAGACACCGAGTTTTTTTTCCCAGACTTGGTTCTGGAAACCATGGTTTTCACCGGTTTTGTACAGAACAAGTTACAGTATGCCAGCAAGACTCTATGTAGACCCCAGATAGCCATTGTGGCATCGCACAAGCACCCTCGCTATACTTCAATACTCCTCGCTATCTGGAGAAGTGAAGAGGTCCGGACAGTCGGCACAACCTGAATATGTTAATGTCGCCAGCATACGGGCGCATGGGTTTTGCGCTCAGCATGGGCGCCTTCAAATACTTCAATTTTGATGCACACTTGCCGACCTTATGTTCTGCTTGGGCGGTGAAGACCAAATTGCCGACCAGGCAAAGGAACTGTTCTTAGTAGAAATCAAAGACTTTATCGAAGTTGTTTGAGCGTGGGCGCAAGCTTATTCAAACGTTCATCCAAGAAAAGGACTCGGATGTTTAGCTCTTTGAGCGCGTAGACTCTACATGCCAGCAATTTAACCGCCTCTATCAAAACGCATGACAACTGGGAAGTGTCTGTTTCTTTGTACAATTGTTTGCTTCTTCCATGGAGCGCTTCGGTCACCGTCTCTTTGGTCGCCAGGAAGGAGAAGAAACGGAAGAATCATCGAGGGTCCGTCGACAGCGTGGCTGCAAGAAAGATGCCATGTCAATTCTGGACCATACGGTTTCTATTGTACGAAGGAACTTTGAGGAAAGAAATTCCCTTGGACAAACCAATCGGCTCCAATCGGCTCAAGCAGAAAAGAATCTCAATCGACTGGTACTGAGGTTGGATCTGACTGCAAAACATCAACTGTTGCGCAAAACTCTTGCATTCTTTTGGTCTGGCCTGACTCAGGCAAACCAAAATGCCACAAAGCAAACTAGTTGACATTGCCGGAGATCAAGTTCTGTTCTCAACAGCTCAGTCTCGTGAAACTTCCTCGAGATGTCACGAGCGTCCGGAGAGCCTCTCGACTCATCAGCTAGCTTCTCAGCAAGTGTTTTCGCAACGCGATGGCCCAGATTCGCCTTTGAGAACTCGGTTGGAAGGTCATGAAAAGCCGTAAAGGACCAAGGTCTTTCTCTTCCGGTGGGAAGGAAGCTGCTCCGAATGCGCTCAACCGGCAACCCATGTTGGATGCGCTCAAAAAGCTTAAAAGGACATTAACTTCCATGGCCAGCTTGCAAAACCAGCTTGGCAAACCGTCAAACTGTTGCCACTCAATTCTACGACTCGATGTGATTTTGATCCGCACCTGCTGGTCAGAAGCCAAGTTGAGCAGGTGCTGAGCCACGTTCACAACAAGAAAAGACCAAGCTGAGCCCATGTTGGAGCGGAGAACAGAAATGGGTCCGGGGTCCACGAGCAAGCGGACCAGAGATCCTTACCTTTTTGGTACAGTGCCCAGTCGGTTTTTTACCAAAAATCCAGCTTGGGCACAGCTTGACTAGTGGACACCGGATGTTCCCCCATCCCAAGAAAGTCGCCATGGGGTTTTTTTGAAGCACCGTAATGCTTTGATCAGTTGTTTAAAAAGAAATATATACCTGAGATCTTCAATGGTTCAATGGTCCAAGAGGTCTTCAATGGTCTACTTCGGACCAAACACGCTGTGGATGTTCTGATCTGATGGAGCACTCAGCTTTACCGCTCAGCCCAGCGGCTCAGTCCTGGGCCGATCGGTGCAGAGTCCCCAAAGCGGTGGAGCACGGATGAAGGGTGGAAGGGGCGCCTCCAACTCTGCATGAAGGCCGTTGGCTCCTGGCAAAATAGCACAACATATCAAGCGCTTGCTTAAAGAGTCATGTAGGAAGTACATTCAACTGATCCTTGACTTTTGGAGCTTTCTTCGAGATGCTGCTGCCCGAGTGATGCACGTCCCCCACTTCCTTTCTGAGTGTTCCATTGGGGGGCACGGAGGCACCCAAGAGGGCAGCTTGAAAAGCAGGATAGCAGAGCCTTCACTGGATGTACCCAAAAGCAAAGCAAATCACCAGCACTCTGTTCGCAGACGCCAAAACGGCTTAGTGAGCTCAACAAAAATGCCATGCCCAGAATCGCCGGTCAAAACCAATCAGAAAAATAGCTGACACAAATAGGTCAGCTGACACAACAGGACGGTCAGCTGAGACAAAGAAACATCTCACCAGCCACTTTTCAACGGGTTACTACAAAGCCACCAACATGCCGATACATGGTACCTTAGCATAGAGTCTCACATACAACCACAGGCATACTAGGATTCGTTCAGAACGGAGCCTCCATCCCCAACCTGTCCACGCGAAACTCTTGGAATCTCCGCTTCCTCACCTCGGCCACCCTGGAAGTCCCCAACAAGTGCTGTTGGTCCCCAACAAGTTGCCTGACACCGTTGACCCTGCGTTTGGACCGCCAGCCATCGCCACCGTCCGGCGCATTCTGCGCCCCCGCCCCCGCCTCGCCGGCTTGCAGCCCGTCCACGCCCGTGGCGGCGAGGCCTTGGACGAAACGCTCCGGAGTGGTGCCGAAACGTCCGAAGGCCCGGGGAAAGCATTGAACATGAAAGAACTCTCCGGACACTCCTCCACAAGCTGGGCATGTGACGCCTCGTGGCAGAAGCCGCAGCCTCTGCCACGATTGCAGGTTCCATCCTGCATCACGAGCTTTAAGGTGCAAGGACTAGTGGTAAAATGTCATGCGCTACCTATCAGTGACGCTCATGCTTGGTCACTGGAAAGAATCCTCACATGAACCGAAGTTCTCGACTCACCTTCATGTCACTCCGAAAAGACTTGGGCAAGCACTGCATAGTGATGGCACAGGACCCATGGTCTTTTACTTTCGCAGAGACGGCCGTCTTGGTGGCAACGGCAGTACTGTTCGCCCTGGGCCTCGCTCCGTCACACCACAAACTGCACTGAGCGTAGAAACGCCATGAAGTACTCAACACGGTGTTCAACAAGTTTTTGAGTTTCGACTTTAAGCTTTGAAGCATTTGGTCGCCAAAGTGACAGTGGTTAAATCACGGCGCAAAAAAAACATGACCGCCATGCAATTGTGGCTCAAGGCTCAAGACTCTGTTTTCTTCAAATCACTCCGCGCGTCAGCATTGATTTTGGATATTCGTCTAAAGGCACTTTTGGGAGCACTTTCTGACAGCTTTAAAGCGGATACAAAGCTCTTCCATGTGCTCCAATACTGAAGATGCCTTCGTGGAGCCCATTACGCAATTCATGGGTTGTTTTCCTACACGAGCTCAAATAAGGCCCTCAAGTTATGGTCATGCAGCGCCCGCCATACACTGAAACTAATGTTTATTGCACTTCTTACCTAGACCTATAATACACATTCGCACTAGTAACAAGGGCATCGCTACTAGTAACAAGGGCATTACTACTAGTAGCAAGATGCTACCAGTTACAAGGGTATCGCTACTAGGAACAATCCTCCGTTGCCCACACCTGTTCTCCTACCCTCTTCTTCGTGCCAGGATGCCAAGGTCGGAAATCGCGGAGCCTGCGGAGCCTTTGCGACGTGGGTGTATGATGTTTCGTACCAGTGAAGCAGCCATTTCTGAAGCACAAAGAAACCAGAAGTGCCATGGAAACTTGGCCCGAACTTCATTTGTACAACGCTTAATTGGATTGGGTCATGGCGAATTGGAGTAGGTGATGGAAGATGTCACAACAAGGTGGCTGCTATTAAACCTGATCAGGTGTAAACATGGCCCACAGGGATACCAGATCAAATTGTATCCCTCCAAAGTCCAAATTGTATCCCTCCAAAGTCCAAAGGTTCAAGCACGATAACATGTCAACGAAGCTGGATACTGGGACAGCAAGCTTCTGCTGGTTGGTCAGTAGCAGGGCAGAATCAGGACTCTAAGTCACTAACTATGGTTCTTCACCTGAAACTCCACTTGCCTTGCTCTAGTTTAACTTTTGCTCGAGGCAAGTCAGGTTGCTTGATGGGATACAAACAGCGGCCTCCAATTGCTGCATTGGCACTAATTTGCAAAACGCTTAGACAATCATTCCCCCAACAGACCGGCTCCTTCTTTACCCTTAGGGTGGTCAAACCAAAAATATTCCTGCCAACTTGCCCATCGAAACAAAATGAAACAACTACATCAGTGAAAAGTTGATTTGGATTGACTTAGAATCGCATTGGAATCAATTGGGGCTTCCCTTGATTTGGATTGGCCCACCATTTTGTGATTCAAGGTCCAGCGCCCCCGACAGCCTGCGTCTGTTGCTGCTGCTGCGCCTGCTGTCCGGGGCCCTGATTGAGTTGTTGCACCTGTTCGCGAAACGGTGCGCTTGAGGTGACGACCTCATCTCAACGTGGCTCAGGGTGTGTGGTACCGTGCGCCCGGAACACCCCGTTTCGCCCGTGCGACATGCGGCACCGCGAGTCATGGTCGCCAGGCCCTCAACCCATGAACCACAGATTGCCTTTCCTTGTAGTGTCTCAAGATAGAAGCCTTCTTGCAAACATGTCCCAAACGAGATCTAGCGTGGCAGAATGGTCCTCAATGAGGTGGTCAAACACTTTCGAAAGTAAAAAAACACCAAAATAGCATAAATATGTCAACCCACAAAACACACCTCAGAGCTCAGAAGCTTTTGGATTCAAGCTTATATCCTACGATCTTCGTACGTCAGGCTGCAAGCGGCGGTTTCTTCCACCGAATCGATCCCCCCTGCTCCAATCGATCCCCAAAGCCCGGAGATCAGAGCCTGGCCCTCTTTGGGCTGCGTTTCGTAAGATGTGTCTCTCGGTCGAAAGAAGGGATTTGTTGGCAAATCAACTGCACGAGAGACCTAGACTGCACTTTTCACTTGAACAAGGTGAGATAACGCACGCTGCGCTTAAACTTAAACCGATCCACGGAACCGGCTGCGCCTGCCACTCTGGAAGAGGACGGAGGTCCTCGATGGGCCACCTGGGAAGAAGGCTCCACCGAGTCGCACTTGACTGTTTGAGTTGGGTGGCATCGGTGGGATTTGAGAGGCTTCGTTAGCCTATCACCGTGAGGAACGAGGAAGCTTGGAACAAGGCCCTGTCACCCAAGGAATATGATAATGGCAGCCAAAGAACGGTCATTGCCTCCTATTGATAAACTAATTCCCACACCACCCATTGACGTGTACCAGGTCTGTTGGACAAGCAGTAGTGACTTCGGTGCACAGTTTCGCAGGACAGAGGAGTCCAAAGCCCCTTGCTTGCAAAGTCTTCACTTATCATCTTGCCTAGCTATATAACTCAAGTAACTCAAGCCTTGATTCCCTTGCGAATGATCCATCCAGCTAGCCACAAAAGTGCCATTGCAAGCTGCCCTGCAAAGAGTCGCATCTCCTGTTGCTCCAAGTGGCTGTATGGGGGGGGCTGCGCCTTGCGCCTGCGCCGCAGCCAAGACAGTCTAGGATCCACTGGAGTTACGGTTCCTTTCGCCACTCGCTTTCCAGTCGACCGAACGGACAACTTTGAACATTGCTTTCTCACCCCGACTCAGTCGAAAAGACCATGACCACAGAAAATACCAGCAAACCACAAAACCCAGTTCGCTGCAATCCACGCGACAACCACCGCGTTGAAAGGACTCCAGAGCACCCAACGACCAGCAAATAACTCGGTGACCGCGGGAGAGAAAATCTTCCCTGGTGCAAAATAGACGCAAATAGATGTTGTATGAATCTGACGTCAGACGTCCTTCTCTCCTCAGGGAAGCGAGTTGCAATTCATGGAAGGCTCGGGTGTTTAGAGAAGCCGAACTTTGGATGACGAAGGTGCTGAACTGCAGCGATCTGCAGCGATCTGCACACCGACTGATGCGACTCCTAAGGGTTCCGACGTCCGAGGACAACGTCCGGCGACTCACCGACCGGTGGAGGACGTCCGCACGGACGACGTCCGGTCCTGCCGCTGCGAGGCGGACGGGTCGACCGCTGCTCCAGACCTCACAGGAAGACTGCTAGCAGTCAGACTGCTAGATGGGCTCATTGACAAGATGCTCAAGAACCTTTGGTGCAATCTGTCCTTGATGTTAGTTGATGCAGGTGGTGTTTCTTCACGACTGCCTTCATGTGGGTTGAAATGACCGAAATCCAATCAACCGCCACATGGAGATGTCTTGTCGAGGCTAAGCTCAGCACCGCTGCTGGCTCTTCTCCTGGTAGCGGATGTGAGTCATTCTGCCCCTTTCAAAGAAGATAATGGCGGTCCAAGTCCAATTGAAGACACTCACCTTGGGCAGTCATCAATTTAGGTTACTCCAGGATTCTGGCGTACCACATATATATAAGTATACACATACACAAATACTATGTGTATATATATATATATTGTCTAAAGCATTTTGTTACCACCCTTCTGAAACACGACTGATGAATCCAGAGAGCCACAATTCTTTCTGTGGACACACCACAACTACTTGCCCATGACTACAAAGCAACATCTCATCCCTATTGCTGCGCTTTTGTTTCAATTTTCCTTTTTTCAAGCATGGCAACCTCTTTCCTAGGACCTAGGGGGCTCTTGGGCTGCCATGGCCATCCCACTTCATCTTTTTGAGTCACTCAGGACTATCTGGCTATACAAAAAAATCCTTTCCGAACCTGGTCCCAAAACGATCCAAGGGTTCAAAAAGTGAGAAAGGCACCGATGGCTCGCTAGGCACCGATGGCTGACGCAACCATCGGTAGGTCTGTGGCTCATTGACGAAGTAGAGTTGGCGTGATGCCATGGCGCGTTTCAAGGGGAAAAAATCCGAGGATGTCTTCGGGCCAAACATGTCCACACCCTCAGCTTGCGTAGACATAGCTCCACACCCTGGAAGTACAAGAGCCAATAGAAACATCTTCCACAATGTGTCTACAAGTCAAAACCTGTAGCGAACAGAATAGTCTAGTGCTGCATCCAGCATCCATGGGTTGAGGAGTATGTAGCTCTTCACACACTGTGGAAGTGGAACTCATCCACTGTCCAGTCCGCCTCCATTCGCCCGTTGGTGGCAGTGGTTCCGGACCTCACGCAAAATGCGAGTCATGTCTGATTCGCCACCAGCATAATTCCTTGCATCATGTGCAACCAGCACATTAGCTTGGGCTGACATGAGACAAACCAGGTCCACGGCGCAAAGCACTCCGAACTCTCCGAACTGCTCTCCGCCATCTGGCAGGCCAGAACACCTAGCAGCCAGGAGTGATCGTGAGATGGGCCAAGACACCGCGCCTCTGGAGACTCTGGTGCTTGGGTCTCCTGGGATGAGCCTCCACTCCGGCTTCGACACCAACGCTGAAAAACCGCAGCACTATGGGTCATTGGTGTTTGTTTCATCTTTGCTCATCAACTGGTGACCTCCAACTTGAGAGTGACCCTCCTGTAAGATGCACAACCTTGACGTTGTGATGATTCTTGTATCTTTTTGCTGCTCAATCAGGTTCCACGGAAGAGTCAGATTTCCCGTTGAACTTGTTGAGAGAAACAATAATCTCACTGTTTGCTCCACGCGCCGACAACACCTGAAACCCAATCGACCACGGGGAAAACCTACACCGGTGCCTGTCTCGTCCGTGTCCGTGCGCACCGAAGAGGGGGCCGACTCCTGCGCGGTCTCCCCGCGTCCGGTCTCCGCGCACCGGCCCGAGGGGACGGACGTCTTTTCGGGAAAAACACCCACTTCGACCTGTTCAATTTGCTTCATGTTGCAGTGGAAGACGGAAAACCTTTTCCTTGTTGTAAATGGAGTGTTTGAGAGGAGCACTTCCGATCGGAGCAAAGCGCCAAGCGCCCGAACGGGTGCAACCGAAGCACGGAGTGTGTCAAACTCCTGAACAACAACGCATTTTCTCTTCTCGAGTCTTCTCTCCCGCACAGGTTGCACAGGTTGCTTCGGCCTACCGGCCCTGCTCCTGCAAAGCTTCGCTGAGAGGCGCATCAAGTAGCCGCTTCAGCAGGGAAAGAACGGCCAAATCCACGTCCTCGCAGGGTGCTTCGACTGGGAATCTGAGAATCTGCCTAGAGACTTCACAATCTGTAAATTCTATAAAGGAATCCATGCAATTCTAGGTAGATCATCTATAAAGCATGTGGGGGAATAGGTGTGCATTATGTCGCAGGTGAAGAATGACAATCGGTGTTCTTCCTTTTGAGTTCACCTGCGCAGGAGAGTTCGAAACGCCAGAAACGGAAAAACCATGGAATATCTTCTGTCATTCTCGTGAATGCAAACACCAGCTCAACGCCGGAACAACCACATCCTGGCAAGGCTTCAACGGCAAAACGCTTCAAAAACAATTGACTTCGAGGGAAAAGGAGGAGCACTTGGACTCTTGGCATGATCACCACCCTTAAGGGCGCTGAGATCGTTGAAACAGGTTAAATATGTACCAGCACGTGCTTGGCCAGCTTTGCAAATTGCTCCTGCGAAATGATACATCTTGGAAGATGCTTGCACACACTATGGCACCCCACACCCATGCCAAACAACATCGAAGCATCATCCCACAGAGGCAGCAACACTCTCGTTCCAAAGTTCCTCTGCAATGGCCTCTGCGCCACAAGCGGCTGGTTTCACCACACCTCAGCCAGCTTCAGGCCAGCTTAGGAGTTTTCCCACAGCAAGGGGCAAGCAGAACGGTGTGGTTTGCTCGGCAACATCAACCTGGTTGCTTTGTGAAGGAGTCGAAATGATGTTCGTGACAAAATTGTACCTTTCAGAGTTGCTTGCAGCATGTTTGGTCCAAGGGACTCTGGGGGGTCACAGATTGTACAAAGCAAGAAGGACAGGCAAGCAACAAGCATGCACGTCCAGCTCTCTTGGAGTCAAGCATTCAGTCTTAGCAAAAACATCTTACGTTGTTTATTTATTATTGTGTTGGACAAGGAGATCCAAATACCAGCAGGTGCATTGCTTACGGTAAAAAAGAAAGGAAAGAAAGAAAGAAAGAAAGAAAGAAAGGAAGGAAGGAAGGAAGAAAGAAAGAAAGAAGTGTTGGGCCAGAAAATGCTACGTATGAGTCTGTATGCCACTCTCGCACAAATGAAAAACCTTGCCTTCTTTCGTCAAAGTGTTCTCTGTCTTCGCCTGCATAAAACATGAACACTGCAGTCCTTCTCAATCTGCAACCCTGGCCATATTGTCTATCTCCTTCTATCTTGCCAACATTGGCGCATGTGTTTAAGTGAAGAGCAACCATGGAACTCAGGGCAACTCTGGCAATAAATCAAATTGCATCTGCTAATGAGTAAACTCTCTCAAAACGGGTGGTGCAAGAACAAACACGATGGCAAATTCTATTTCTGGTACCCGCAGATTGACAGCAACGGTCCCCTCATTAACATAGATGCAAAAGCCGCTGGCTTTGGTTTGAAACCTCCCACACACTCTGGCAGTCCTGATGCAAAATCATTTTGCTGGAATGGTCAGGCGTAACGGCCCTTGGAGATGCATGAAAAAGGTAGTGCTCACTTCAAAAAGGTAGTGCAAAAAAAGGAAGCCGTTTTCCTGATGTCACAAGCAAAACACTAACCTTCGCAATGGTGTCGCAAACAAAACTCCCAGGGTTGGGACGTTCTCTCAAAACGATCTCAGAACGAACCAACCCGTCGAACGTTTGGGCAGGGTCTTTTCAGGTTGCCCGAACACGTTTTTCTTGGGGAAACCAAGCTCCACACCCCTGTGCATCGACATTGCCATCCAAACAGGGGCTGTACATCTTCCCTGCCTTTCCACAAGCAACTCACAACCGTTTGTGGTCAGGACTGAACAAGACCACTATCAGAACAACAATCACCAAACACCAGGATAGATGAAACATGTAAAACTACAGACTCCAGTTCGATGTTTAAAGAAGACTTTGGTGGTTTCAACATAACCCAAGAGCGAACAGTCAAACGATTCAAGATTCCAGTTTGCGCAACATTCCCAAAGTACTTAAAACAGTTTTTACTTACCCGCTTCGGGATTGACGAGCAACTTCATGTTCAGTTTTCTTGATAGCAATAAAGAAAACAACTGCTCTCCTCGTCCGCGTGCACCATGAGTGGCGGAATGGTGGTACAAGGGGTTCCCGCTGTGGCGAACACCTGGCTCTCTGGCACACGCTGGCTTGTCAAAGAACATCCCATCAATACATGTGCAAATCAACAACATGGGGCAGCACCTGACAAAGCTTGGCTGATGTCAGCGAACAAAGTTGAGTCGAACCACTGCAGACGCATTTCAAACATGGTTGTGTATCGTACCACACCTCCACCTACAATTTTTTGACTGGTCAGTAAGACCGTTTGTCAGGATGGAAGAACATTGGGGCACTCATCCTTAAAATTGTTCTGCAACTGCCACGGACGACATGTTCATGAAGAACGACTACAAGTTTCAAGTCTCAGACTATCGTGATCATCATCAACATCATAATCATAACCACAAAAATAATCATAGTCGTCATCATCATCATCATCATCACCATCATCATCCGCATCTGCATCTGCATCTTCATCTTTCCTTTCCTGACGCACATCGATCCCGATGCTTGCGTGGACCTTGCCACCGAGACTGGTCCGCCTGGCGCCAGTGGACTTTCTGCCCACGGTCTACGCGGTTGACACCTTCGGTTGTGAAGTGAACCTGGTCCATCCGGACTCTTTTTTTTGCATGGGTGGAGACCATTTTTTTTGCACGAGTGGAGACGCCATGTGTGCGGTGTGCACAGGTCATCTTTGCTAAAGGTTGAAACTCCGCATATTCAGAAACACGAAACAAGAAAGCAACAAAACAGCCAAACCCCAAAAACCACACAACAGCAAGAAAAACAGGCAAGAACAACAGAGTTTCATCTCTGTACATCAATGGTGAAACACAATGAGAAGAGGGAACTGTGGCTAATAGCTACTTGGGCCTCGAATTCAATCTCACGCTGCTGTCCATTTACCTGTGAAGTGGTATTGTGCGATCGGCCTGTATGCGGACAGGCCTGGTCACAGGCACTTGCTGACGCAAGTGCTCAAGCAATACAGCAAAATGGCAATCTGGCAGCTTCCTACTGCGAGCTGCGCCGGAAAGGTTCCCTCAGAGTGCGAGAGGTCGAGCTCAATGGTCTTGGAGCAATGTTGTTCTGGCCTTGGAAAACAGCTTTGCCCTGGTCACAATCGTTTCACGCAATTGCGAAAGCAGGAAGAGCTGCGGCCTATGGTGGGCAGCATGCCTATGGTAGTCATTGCTTTCAGGTGCGCCGTCCGGCGCCTGACGACACTCCCTCAACAGAGGGAGCAGGTGGGCACATTACAAGCAAACTCCGTAACAGCTAAGCCTACAGGAGCGCAGCGAATGTGCAAAGTACTATCCTGGCAGGATAGCGTTCCGATTCATCAGTCAACTCGCCTCCTTCGTGCAAGGCCCTTGTGAAACATGGTGAAACTTGGAAGGCTAGCATGGTGTCATTTGCCCACTTCGTACAAGATTGGCAGGGTACGGACCCTCGCCAGGCGATGAACTAAGGTTCTCACCTGGGCGCCAATCTACTATCTTTCCTACCGTCGCGTGCGGACACCAGTCGAGAACTAAGGTTCTCAACCGGGCCAGCTCACTAGCATTGCACAGTTATGGGCATGTTGGCTCTAGCCATCGACGACATAGGTTGGCATTTCTCTCTTTTGCCTAGGTTGGAGAGGGCAGTCGAATTGTTTTAGCGTGGTGCGCTTGCTACGTAACATCTATCCTGTGGCTCTTATGGACTTAAGCCAAGTCCGACACGCATCCTACATCTGGGATCATGTGCAGCCACTGCGGCCATCGCCATGCGGGGCAAAGTGCAAAAGCAGTTTCTTCGGCATATGTCCCTCTCCACGTAGTTCTTTGGCTTGGCATTCTCGTAAGCCTTCTCAAGACTGTACAATCGAGAAAGGCCTTACAGGCAATGTAATGAAGTGAAGGTGGGATGGCTAGTTCTTCAACACGGCACAATTCATAGAAGCCTTCGGATGGATTGTGTGGATTGTATACGGAAGTCGGACATCCTGGAGCCGTATACAGTGCACAAATGTGAACTCTCGAATCTCCGTTATAGTGGTGTCCGAAATGTCAACGTGAGAGAGGAGTTTGCAATTGTCACAGGCATGGGCTCCTAGCCTATAGAAGTCAAGGGGTAGCTGGAGATCGTTTAACCCTGTGGAGCAAAAGCATCCCGCTAGGAGCTCTCGACGCTGACAGGTGTCAGTGATTGCGGCTCGACAACGGAGTGCAGTATTGTCATGGCAGCCAAGTTGATGCAAGAGTCAAAGAGATAGTGGCCAATCTTGGTTGCACTACTGAAGGCGTTGACTCCTCCATTGGCATGGACAACATGTAACGAACAACAGTCGGCGAATGCCTTGTAACCGAAGTCTGTGCAGCCTAGCGCAGTTATGCTATTAGCCTTTTTTTCCACGAGTACGGACGCCGTGTGGGCATGGTGCCCAGGTCATCATTGAAGGAAGGGAAATACAATCAGATGGTGGAGAAAAGGACAAAGACAACCCAACAACAAACAAAACAAAACCAACCACAGCCCTGTTTCACGGAAGGCAACTATAGCCAGTTATGTAAGGTGAAAAGTACTTTGATGTGACTTCTGGCCTACTCTGGACTCGAGCTAAGGCGCGCGCCCAGACTCTTGATGGGTGACGGTGAGACGGCGATAGCTGTGGTCAGAGGGACGTGTCTTCATCCAAGACCAGGGGTATATCCCATGTCCGGGATCATATGTAGCCAGGGTGGCCATCTCATATCCGGATAAATGGCCAAAGCATTTTCTTCGGCATAGACTCCTCGCCATTTGTGTCTTCCTGGCATCTTGGCGAGCCTCTTAAGGGCAGTACAATCCAAGAAAGCCCTGCTTCCAATATATTTTAGCGAGGGCGGGATGGCAAGCTCAACAAGGGCTGCACAGTTCATAAAGGCTTTACCCGAATTGTAGGAGAGTGGGCGGAAGGAGAACTTCTCTGAGGCTAGTGCAGTGTACAAAGGTGAATTCCGGAATTTCTTCAACGTTGGTGTCGAAGAGGTCAACCCTCTTCAGCAGTCTGCAACTGTCACACGGGTGCGCTCCAATAGTTGCAAAATCCTTCGTGAGGGCAAGTGTGGTGATTCCTGTGGAGCTAAGACAGCCTGGCGCCAGCTCACGTCCTGCAGTGTTGGCCCACGGGGGGATGGGAGCTCACACAAGGTAAACTCAGCTAGCTTGATGCATCCTTGAAAGAGGTGATGCCCGAGCTTGGTTTCGCTGCTGAACCAATTTGCAGCCCCTTCCGATGCATACACCCATTGTGAGGAGCAGCATTCCGCAAAGACTTTGCATCTAAATTCCCGGCAACCAGAGCCGAGACACTGTTTAGTAGTTTGCAGTTGTGAAAGACGTTGTCGGAAATGCCTACCACAGTGGCCGGCAGTTTGACAATGCGAAGCTGCCGACAATTTTGCCACGCCTCTGCTCCAATGAGCCTGATACCTGACTCAACGCTGACCCCTTCCGGGACGATTTCCTCTGGGTTCATGGGGACATGAACAGCAAGCGGAACATGATAGATAGGGCATCCTTATTCCATGCTTTGCTGTAGCTTGTCCCAGATTCGATCCTCTAGGTATGTCTGCGTGGCACTTTGCAGAAAATCGATGGAGCACCCAAACACTTTAAGGTCAGTTACTGAGACCAGAAACCTGGTCCTCTAGGTTCTCAAATCGATCAAATCTTGCCACACTGAGAGACCTTGATAGTAACCTCCGAGAGCGTTGTCAGCACCAATGAGCAGTCCATGACCGGCTCCGTTTCAGGGGGAGTACTAAGGATGAGTCGGGCAAGCTCCATGTGTGGCAGACTGCTTTCATTGCTGTTTGAACCAAAAGCTTCTCAATCTGCTCATTGACTGTTGCTAGAGCCGGGAATGTTTCTAGAGACAGATGCTAAGGCACCCACCGTGACCCCGCATGGACTGGCCCGGATGTTCGGAAAATTCATCATGTAGCTCTTCGTCAAAGGCATCCGAATCCGATCCTTCAGCGGGGAGCAGCTCCACCCACAGTGGTCTTTCAAATTTGTCACACATAAAGAAAGCATTGTGCTCTGCCTGCACAGATTGTTCAATCTCCCCCCAATCTAGGGGCGTAAATCGTTGCAGTTGCTCACACGCGCAGAAAGCACGGATGCCCATGTCACAGAGTTCTGTCGGGATGACCACTTCTTGGAGCGCAACACAACTGAGGAAAACTTCTTTGCCAATTTGCGTTGGTCGCGGCGGAAGCCATATACAATTCAGAGCCACGCAGTGGGCAAAGGTGGAGTGGAGCAGGGCTGTGATTTCTGTGCGCGTGAGGTTGACCTCCACAAGTCCTTTGCAGTTTTCACAGGCCCGTGGCCCGATATTGTGAAAGTCACCTGGCAGACAGAGCTGTTCAATGCCTGCTCCACAGAATGCGCCTCAGGCAGCGCTCGAGGTTTATTGTTTTTTTTCCACGAGTACGGACGCCGTGTGGGCATGGTGCCCAGGTCATCGTTGAAGGAAGGGAAGAACAGTCAGATGGTGGAGAAAAGAACAAGGACAACCAAAACCACCCAAAACCAAACAAACCACAGCCCACAGGCCGAGTCTCCACCATCTTGTAGTCTTTCCTCTGTGCTAGGTGAAACAAGTGAAACGAAAACTAATGACTATCAATGGGCCTGAATTCTCGAACGAAAAGCATAGCAGCGCAGGTCTGTGCTCTAGCAAAGTCTCCAAAAAGGCTTCAAATGGACTTTACTTCATGATTACTAGTGACCAGCGGCCACACCACAGTGCGGCAAAACCATGGTCACGATGCAGGTCAGGAGTATCGCAATGCTCCAACGCCGGTTGCATCCATGTCAAAATGGAGTAGCGGTAGCTATGCTGCATGCCGTGGAAAAAACCTTTCTTGTAGCACAACCCATGCAACTGGTTGCACTTACAAGTCCAGAGGCATGTTACCAGTCGGTGATCAAACAGTGGCGGCCATAGCAAACGACGAAAGCCTGCAGGTAAGGGTGCGAAAGGGCATACCTCCCCGAAGGGAGGTCAACTCAGCACCCTTCGGCACACAAAGGTGCCAAAACGGGGTGTCTCCTAAATCCGTGAAGTGCTGCTTCATTGCAAAAAGTGATCTGCTGCGTGCAAGGCCCGTGTGAAACAGGTGAAACTTTGGACTATCCTAGCATGGTAT